GGTGGAGTAAGTCTACCATTAGCCCATCTCACTTCATGAATAAATCATGGCGCGGTATTAATGAAAACTGTTTTTCGCGCTGGTTTCCGCTCATTTAAGTTTAACTGTTGCTGCATGCTATCGGATCATAATCATACAAGTATTTGATTGGGATAACGAAGTGAGATGGTGTATAAGCCCATGCAGGTACATTGATAGTATTATCGAAAATTGTGTCCTCTATGTTTGGCGAACTAGGTACGTATCGAACTAGAGAGTAGCCAGGAAGCCTGCATCAAATCAGCTTAGACAATGCCCGACAGATTGTAACCCTGGCCAGGGTCAGAGTCATCACCATAAAATTTGGTTAAGCATTAAGACAACAATTACGATGTAAAAGAGGTGCCATTCCGCCTAACTTTAAATAAATGATGTAAAGCACCGGAGATCGACCTAGCTCAGATATCCAGGTGCACCCCGTACGATTCAACGAGTGGCTCTTAAAGTGGAGATCCGACCATTCGGGCTCATTTTTTGAACGTCTTTTCCAGCCCTTTCAACTTATACTTGATCGACATCAACGTTTCGTTTGGGTGTCTAAGTGTCCCACACATAGCTTCGCTAGTCCACCAGTTTTCCTTCGGCTATCGTTCGCTGACGAGGAATGTTCGGCGAGGCATTCCGATGACACCTAGAAACCAATAAGTAATTCTCATTGCTCGTGGATAGTACAATATTTTGGACTCGTTCCTTGCTTTCTCCATTGTAAAGGTCCCTCTCGACCTACGGCTCTTTGTGGTTACCAGTCTCTTTCCTGGGCTAGTGATCAAACTATTTGAATCTAGGTGCCCGGCCCGATAAGACAGCGCAAAGAAATAGCGAGTTTGGCATTAGTACCATTACAATAACCTTTCCATTACAATAACCTTTCCCATAGTGATAGTAAGATGTTTTAAAGCAGAAATGTTATATTTTTAGGGCTATTTTCTTTGTTGAGATGGAGAGGGACTGGCCTAAAAAGTAAAGACATGTTATTTTTACGCAACCATATGAAGCATATCACAGTGGCCTATCGTTTCCGCCTTATAGTGGCCTTACTTTATACTGGTGACCTTATATTGAATAACATTACAGCTTTAGGGACGCAACACTCGCCATTTTCTTACATCTCTTGCCTGGTGGAGTGAGTCCACCACTAGCCCATCTCGTACCTAAAAATAGAGTTATTCCACCAACCAGAGCTCTCAGAGTTAAGAAAGCGAGGTAACGATTGGCTTAGGGCAATGGTAGTAAACATCCGGGTTTAATGCGAAGCATATTCTGTAGCATTAAATGAGGGCAAGCTCTCTACTCTCTATTGCGATCGCCACATCTTAGTTTAACTGTTTGAGTTTGTGTTCAATTCAACAGCTCTCACACTATTATATGATTGTTTGTGATGTGTAGACATCATAAACTTTCGCACAGACAGGAATTCAATTTGAAGACAGTTGACCATCTTGCACACGCAGAAGGCCTAAAAGCAATTTGGCAATAGAGATCATTTCAAACTTAGTTTCAAGATTGATTCAAATAATGAGATTTTAAAATTATATGTTAGGGCTTGGCAACAGGTGAAATAAGTGTAAATTGTAGGCACTCGGAAAAAATTTCGGATATTTGCTTTCAAGATTAATATCTTACAATGAGAAATGATAAATCTTGTCAAGTTTCGTTGTACAGTGAAGTTCAAGTCCGGCCACTAAATAATGGGAAACTTCCTCGCTTCCCGCTACACTGGGAAGCTAACTGCAATCCTGCTATTCCACCAGGAAGCTTTCTCTTCTAACCTTAAAGAGAATGATGTAGAGGGGGATAAAAGCTGATCGTTGCGATGTAGCAGAAAAAAGCAGACCCTACCAAAGAGAGCAAAAAGTGATTTATAACCAAATTCAGAAAATTGTCTCACCCATCACCTGACGGCTGACACCTATGTACCGTGTGCTTCCGGATTTATTCTGGAAACCCATATTGGAGGAGAACACCCGATCCACAACTGCAACTTGTTAACTTGAGCGCAAAAATTGGCAATTAAAAGACCAAAGTAGGTGTCCAATTTAGTATCTTTCCTTGAACGTGTGTAGCCAAAATGACTGATGTTTGTCAATATATCTTAAAACGAAGCACTGTAGACCTAATGTTATGTTGCTTCATAAATTGTATATAAATGTGGCTTTTAGCGGTTGTTTTTAAAATCTCAAATTGAAGTCTCTATTACCGTCATAATTCATATACGCGACTGAGGGTAATTTAGAAAATGTACCCTGTATATAGGGTTGGGTCTAGCGATAAAAATTGCGTACCTAAACGATTTTGGGTTAGAATGACCTAACGAAGGACCCTGTATCGTATGCATCGAAGTGCACACTTAACTACACCCTGCTACTAGAGTATGATATGAGTTGTATAAATATAATATAGTGGTTCATTTCCGTTGAAATATTCCATTTTGGATTGCCACGGACTCAAAGACGTCTGAACAAGGTACAACCCACCATCGCGTAGTGGCGGTCACAGTCGCACGATGGCGGTCACCATTTCTATTGTACATAGTCGTTACAATCCTACCTTTTTAAAATATACACCTAGCAGGAAATAACAATAATAAAATAACCGTCTACGGCGTCCAATAATGAGTTAATTGCCAATTTATTCCGTAGCAAACTCTCTAGTCACAATGTCATGCTCCTTAGTTATAAACGCTAAGATTCTCTTCTAGCCGCCACAAGGAAGCAGCAAAACAATTGGCACACAAATTCGACAAATCTCGGATGCTTTTGTCTCCTATACTCTCTCTGTTCTCAATACCTGACTCTCAAGAATTCAGAATATTTTGTCGATCAACAATTGGGGGGGGGGGGGGGGGGGCGAATGTGAAAATACAGTTTTTGGGGTTGTTATGGATCAGTTTTGTTTTAAGCAGGGTCGACCGTCAGCCCTCACATCCCATAAACCAAATTAACAACAATGGTCGGTCAATTTCAACCTTACATCTAACACATCTCTAATTCTGTGCATTCATTGCTTGCTTAGCATGGTTTTAGTATTGTCTTCTTCGAAGGAAAATGATATCGGTAATATATTGTAACTTAGTCTTCTATCCAGTATATGTTTGTTTTAATGCAGCTTTCAATGATACGCACTCAGCTTTGTCTCTTCGTCCTCTCTCTATCGGCTCACGCTGAAGGTTAGCTACAATTCTACAGGGAAATATTTTGACATTTTAACTGAGTGGGAAGTAAATAACATGAGTGTGAACTATTTAAAGAGATGTGGTTATAATGAGTAACGTATACTGAGTAATTAACTGGCATTGTATTTCAGATGATTGGAAACCGTTGGAAGTTGGTTCAACTTCTACGGGCTGGGAGGATTTTAATGCTGTTAGCCACTATATCGAGCTGGAAACTACACGACTTGGAGATGAATCTACCGCAGGCATCAGATTCAACTTGAACCTCAAATTAGGGATCGGCGCTGGAACTGGGTCGAATGGAGTGGTCAAATTTATGCGAGAGTTAGCAGTTTTGTTTTTTTCTAAATATCACATCAGTATATTGTGTTTCATACAACTTTAAACTAATACCACATACCGCATGTATCAAGTCTATTTGGATTCTATACAACTAAATCTTACAGGAACAATAACCAGATTATCATGTACAACACGGCGGGAGGAAGGTATTGTGATGACAACAAAGTGTGGTCCAAAACGAACAGCTTTAACGGTCGTTTCATAATCGGTAATTCCATGCTTAAGTATTTAATTATACGGGTGAGGACTCAACAGAGTTGTCACAAGCTTGATTTAATGCGAAACAGCAGATTTTAGGACTGGTTGGTGAATCCCTGTTTTCAATTATCATTCATACATCAAAACCTTAGGATCGTTTGAAATCTAGATTCTCCAGTCTCCGCATAAGACAAATTTTCATCAGTTTTTTTTCCTAATCAACGATACGAATCAAAGTCTCTTACAGATGTCACGAGAAAGTACGTACTGCAGGAGACAGTCGAAAACAAGTTTGGCGATTTCTCGAACTGTGCAGATTCGCATGTCAACCATTGGGAATCTGCTGTTCTAAGTGGACAGATCAGCAGGATGAGTTTTAGTCTTGAAAGAATGTTAGGTGACGTGGCAAGTCTGCTGTCAGTAAAATACAGAGTAGTTGAAAAGCGTAAGTTTTTTAAGCAGCTAATTCCGATTTTTTTCATTTCATCAAAAGTTATTTCCCATGAAACGAACCTTACAACTTCTAGTCTAGCCCCCTGCATTATCCACAGAATGTAAAAGTTTCTCGATGAAGATGATGAGATTGAGTGATGAGACCCTGCCATTAGCACGAGGACAACCTATCACTCTATCCTGCGCTTCAGGGTACAAAATTCAGGGGGAGGAGGTCCTGATGTGTGATGATGAAAGTGAACTTCCGTCTTGTGAGCCAGGTATGTATTGTGTGGGTACATTAAAAGGCGGCCAGAGACAAGAAGCAACTTCAAGCGCGCATCGTTTTGATAGTACTTCAGAGGACACTATCGATACTGTGGATAATATCTCCATTTCCGCCAAATACGGTTTGGCGCCTTTTTGGTCCAAATTAGGACCAATTTAGCCAAATACCCTGAACATGCCCAAAACATGTTCAAACGTCCTGTTTAACCAAATTCAATGTTTTTTAACGCAGATATCTCTCTCTTAATCTTTCTCGCTTATTAGCTGTGCATTGTGAACATGTGTGCATGAACATGCATTGATTGCATGCAATATTTACGTTACGCGCGCGTCGCGTGTTATATCATGCGCGGCGCGTCACATATATATTATATCGAAAAACATGGTAATATGCGCGATGAACATTAGAAATAAAAACATCGCGCCCTCCAAAAAAGATAGTCCAGTAGACCCTCAATCAACTAAAAATCCGCGGAATACCTGATGATGTGACATTCTTCCTAGACTAATTATAACATACCACACCCACCTTCACGTTCACTTCTTCTCATCATCGTTCAGCTCCCCAGTTTCTTTGTAACCTAACTGACCCGCTTCATCGTTATAATAATAATCCTCCAATCTCCACTGAATGGTTTCGAAAGTAGGCCGTTCGGCAGGCTGAGCCTTCCAGCAACTCAACATTATATCGTACAGTTCTTCCGTCATAATGACTGGACAGGGCATTCTGTAGCCCTTCTCAACTTGGGCTGAAATGAAGGATTTGATATTAGCTTCCTAGAAATCAGAATATTGTTTCTAAATACAGAAACATCTTGCTATTTTTATTGGTCGACACAAACTATACTGGGTATCTCTACCGGGTAGGTACTACATTAGCTCGCTAAAAGCCATTGTTCAGTAATTGAAAGTATTCCCCTGAAATGTACAGCAAATCGTGGTCACTAGCCCTCTAATTATGCCAGTAAACGATAATCATGGATTATTGATCATTCGTCTACCCGATTGTTATATTACTGCTCATTTTGTTGGTTGGCTCACTTATTCTGTAATTTTAAGCAGATGCACGAATCTCTCGTTATGGATCAGTTTGACACAGATATTACACCAAATTCAATTTCCCAGATAAGTCCATCGTACAGAGTGTTTTCGGGGATCTATTTTGGGATATGATCCGTGAAAAGGTTGGAACACGTGTTGCTGTATTGTTGTGCAGTAACTGAAATGCCAAGTATCATGTATGACGTCATGAACCTTGACTCTGACCGTAATTTTTCACAGGGAGTACTCCTCAGCGGTAAATCTTTCCCCTGGTCTGCTGACCCTGCTTGACTCTTGAGTATCTGTAACCACAATTTTACCACAATTTTACCACCATGTTACCAATGATCCACTACACCGGTTATTTATGTCTGGACCGGGAGAGCAAGATTTAGACTGGTCGGGATTTTACCATGAAAGATTTTCCAGACTCCAGAGGATGTTGTGAATAAACTAACAAATGTCAGGTGCATCACTATAATATCATGATGCAGCACTTTTCATGTTCCGTTTAATGGCAAATGAAGTGTTTTTACAATTTTTTTCCGTCCATGGCCTGTACATATCTTTTCTCGACAACCCACAATATTTATAAGATAAATTTTCAACAGATTTATAGTATTGGGGTGGGCCGAATGAAAAATTCCGGGATCAAAAATGTCTTGGATACCGGTTAACTACTGGCCACACAAACTGATTTATTTCATTTCAACCACTTGCTTTCGTCCAACCTTCCACTTTACAAAAATTGTGTACATTTCGCCAGTAAAAAGATAGATGAAACAGGAGAAACACAGGTCTTTTAATTAAGTGCGACCTTTCCATACCTTAATACCCGAGAGCGTGCGTGTGTGTGTGTGCAGATAAAAACATCCATCCAAAAAAAGAAGTACACAAGAATGTTGGAAAAATTAGGTGCGAGAAGAAAAAAAAGAAGTGTGAAACCGGACACTGTAACAACGACTAGAAGGTAATTACTTAATGAGACAGCACAGGGAACTTGTCACATTATTAATCCATTACTCATATTACTTCCCTCATACACTATCGGGTTTAACATGTGCTCGGTAAATTTATCGTGTATTATCACAGTAAGTAGGGCATATATGTTTGTGCGGTAATTTTATTTCTGTATTTTACATGATTAAAGTGTATTTGAAATTATAAAACGGATGAAGTACTGCCATTTTTAAAATACTCGAGGGAAGTCAGAGGTATTGTCGGAATGTTATGTATGTGTGGAAAATCTAGTGCTAACAGAATATTAAACATGACACTTAAAATGGGTCCAGTTTAAATACAACGTCTGGTTATAATTATAAGGATTAAATTATAAAATTATACAATTATATGATTTGGACTAATCTACAAGGTGGGGGTGATTAACAAAGTGGTGACGTGACGAAAGTATTTCAAGTGAAATGTCAAGTATGTCAGCAATGAGTGACACACAACTTGACTGTCAACAACTTGGTCCCAGGGGAGCTGAAATACCAGGTATAGTAGCAGAGAGTTGATGTAACAGCTGTTGGTTAATGTGATGTAACTACATAACTATGTTTCTGTTCGCAGTGGAGGTAAGGTCATCATATCAGAAACAGGTACCACTATTAGGGAAACCAGATATTATGAGTTGTACACGAGTGATCTTATCAAGGATTAATTTAGAGAGTGGAATGTTCTGTTTCGAAATGTCCAGACACCTACATTTTTGCTGTAAATGACCCGGGTTGTGAGTAGAGCCAAACTGTTTATAATAACTCAATTATAACATTGATATATTATTGAGCTATTGAGCTAATCCAGTATCTTGTAACCTAAATAAAATCAGGTGCAGTAAAGCTTATCATAATATCCATACTGCACCTAAAAGTTTTAGAAAGAAAAACATCTACACACATATCTGACATACCTAGCGTTTCCTGGTTGCTCATGCCAGGATAAGGGGTCCCCCCGAAAGTGAAGATCTCGTGCATCAACACACCGAAACTCCACACGTCTGACTTGATTGTAAACTTCATGTGAGTGGCAGCTTCTGGTGCAGTCCACTTCACGGGAAAGTGCATGACATTCTGTGCTTCGTAGATCTTATCGTGTGACTGTTTGGGGGAAAGAGTGGTAGAAAAATGGTAGGAGATAGAGTGCGAAGAGATTGTGGAATAAGTTCGGATAATGTATGTTCGGAAAAGAAGTAGTACTTCCATATTTTTTGTACACTTCATTTTTGTCACGCAAGAAATCTGTATTTTGTACGACTGTGTTTGTTTTTCTGTGTTGTGGTGTACACAGTACACTACTCAGAGAAAGTTAGAGAGCTCCAGCATTGAATGGAATTTAGCAGTGTAGCTGCTTTGGTACCAATAATTAATCAATGTATCAATTCTCCGTTCCAAAACACATGAGAATGAAAATATATGATCAATGAGCTGTAAAACACCGATTTCTGATTACTTGATTAATGTTTTAAACTGTTATCAATAGATGTAACGTTATTCCGTCCGATAAATTAAACAGAGTTAAAAACTTATAAACATTCCCAGCAAGCTAATGCTACTTGTACAATGCACAGTAAGTTGTTTTTGTGGGAAATGACAATTGAGCACGCATTTTATAAAATTTGTACTGTTTTATAAAATTATAAACTACTGTACTGTTTTATCTATGGTCACTGGTCAGTGTACTGTAGCGGACTGTAATTAACATAAATCTGTCAGTGCTGCAAAAATTGTAAAACATTTGTCTTGAAAATTTGAATCATCCGATTCAAAGTTAGGTGATGCTGTAAATTTAATGTGTCGTTTAAAATACAATTTAAAGAAGTTCTCTATGCGAAGAAAATGTTTAATCTTAGTAACAGCAGTCTACTGTGAAAATGCTGTGAATGATTAATGACAGCGAATATTTGTCGTTCACAGTTTAGATGTGTGATGGCAAATTAATACTGTCAAAGTAAGGACAATAACTTTACTTTCTAAGAAGATAAATAATTAATCTGTCACATACGCATAGTTTCAACGATATTTCAAGGATGAAATAAATGTCTTTATGTTGTAAAAATAACAGTTAACACGTCTAATAAGGATAAGTTTGGGTTAATTTCCAAAGATCAAAACGATGAGAAGATCGCAGCGGTGAATGCGAATGTAGTTATGGTGGTACGTGAGAGAACACTCTGTAGGTGATGAAATGTAGTCTGCGGTGATAGAAATGATAAGAATGATAAGAAACATAATGAAATATTATAATTGGTTTAGTCCAATGAAGAAATAAGGGCAATAGATTGTCTGCGAATCTGTTCGTCAAGCAAGAAAATCTTAATTGATGAAAAGTATTTTTCTGATGCACGAATGTATTTTCTAATGTACTTTCTAACGGTGTAATTAAGTTAAACTTCAATACACACAAATTTAGATGAGGCTAATAATATAAATACTCACGTGTAAGACTCGAGCGAGGCCGAAGTCAGCTATTTTACACTCAACAGGGCTGTTAGCCAGGGCCACCAGCACATTCCTTGCAGCCAGATCCCGGTGGATGAAGTTCTTGCTTTCCAAATACTGCATTCCCGATGCCACCTGAGGGTTGATTGTCGTTTTAATGAAGTGTTATTTTGAATTGAATTAAAGCAATGACTGGCATATAAGAACGGATTTAGGATCTCCTCGGTTTACAACGGTTGATTCGTGATCCCAGTATGTCCAGTACCTATTATCACTTAGTCTCCACGGCTAATTGAATCCTAATTAAGGTGATTAATGGTTATTAGCTTGATATCTGATAGCAAAAATTCATGCAGTAATTGGCATGTAAAGACCCCTCAATTGATCAATAGGGAATATCAGACTTTTCTTAAATGGGATAGGCTGCAGAGAGCGATTTATGTCTACTTAAGCAGCATGTTACAATTACCATAAAACCTTAGATGGCAAGTACGTACGGTACAGGGCTTTAAGTACGTACGGTACAGCTACTTTTAAAGGTACGTACGGTACAGGCACTGTAAGGTACAATTTTTTTTCAAATTTTTAGAATCAACTTCAGTGAATTACTTGCAATTTTTGATTAGTATTATCATCATAATTTTTGAGACAGAACTAGAAGTCGAAAATAAACACACAAATTAACCGGTACTACACTATACTACTACTTGTAATTATCGTTAAACTCAAAGCTTCATCCTTTTGTTGCAGTATATAATACGAACACCAGCTTTTCAGCTAGCTCAGGTCGCAACCTTAATCTACGCTTGTACATTGCTATCAACTGGATTTGTACCTTTCAGCCTACTTTATTAAGTACGTACCGTACAGCTAAGTTAAAGGTACGTACCGTATGTACTTGCCATCTTAGCATAAAACCTCCCATGGACGGGTGGTCAGTGGTCGATATCTAGCCCACTTTGAAATAGAGGATACAAATGTCTATTTATACTTATAGATTCATGAGAAATCCGACTACAGACAGGTTGAACGGCCATGCTTGTATCCGTTCGTCCAATTTTGCGGTTGGATCCCAACAAAAATCCATTAAGAAGCAATTTGAGGTCCCGTGAATCTGTGAGGAAGCACACTAATACACATATCCGTTACTTTCGTGTTCAAAACAGAAAGTTTTGTGTGTGGAAAGGAGGGGGATATCACACGTCTGCTTGAAAATACGATTAGAGAATCCACGAAATTAAAGTATCGGCCACTTCAGCAGGACAGACATCTGACATAAAGTGGCCAGTGAGTGAGTGAGGACCAAGGCCAGGTTACTACAAAACCGTCACTCTGTAGCGTCCAACATATTGTCTGTGTTACACGCATACATAATATTACATAGACAAGTAGTAGACACTAGTCGTGTGTTATTTTGGTGGAACACACAAACACACATACAAATACACACACAAACACACACACACATACACACAAACACACAGCACACACACACACACATACAAACACACCCGCGTGTAGGACATCTCATATTTTTCGCAGTTTTCAAAGTGGTTCACTAGTTAGGGCAAGAGTTGATTTTTCTGTGAACAAATTCGTAACAAAGGTTTGTCTACTAGAATGTGTTGTCCATAGTCCCAGGAACCACAAAAAAAACCGTCCAGCTGAAACTTTTGGGCAAAAATTTTTATAGTCATTTTTCTCCAGGAACCCATACGCCCCACCCCTAATATTGGTTATTCGGCTCCCGAAGGTCTTGAGATCTCCATAGGGGGTGCAAAATGACCGCAATGGCCACATTATGGCAGGCGATTGATAGTTTCAGAACGATTGGGGCTTTATTTTTCGAAATAAATGGAATTTTTCAAAATTTTTCTCAATTTTATTGAAATTTCGAAAAAAATACACCAAATTATTTTTAACGCTTATTTCAAATTTTACTCGGGAAATAACTTCAATTAACAAATATCAAGGTTAACTAACAAACAACAGATTATTGACCAACCCCCAGACAGCTATTCGACGGTACATGCTACTCTGGTTGAATGTCTTAAGTTATCCTATAGTGAGCCGATGATAATCACATTCGATTTGCCACTGTGGATTAAGGCCACCCGAATAGTACTGGAAACTGGGATGTCTATTGTGGTCAGGGTTGGGGGCTTCCACACTCTCACGAGTTTTCTTGGCTGCATAGGCTATATAATGGCAGACTCGGGTTTAGAGGAGCTCATCAAACTCGTGTATCCTGGAGACGTCACGCATATATCGGATGGAGGATCTTACTAGTATAAAGCATTGAGAGCCCACTTTCTGATCGACGCCGCTCTTTGTTGTTTCATTATAGAGGAAGAAGTTTACGACGATGAACTAGTAGACTTGGAAGGTTACATCAACAAATGTGTGAACGAAAATATAGGTGTTAACTTTAAGACTAAATCTATTCAGGATCTATCAGAGAAAATAACTCTGCTTCTAAAGAACCTGTTTTCAAACAGTAGAACAGCAGCTCTATGGGTTACTTACCACAACATGATAACACTAGTAAAGGACTTCATAAGAGCAGAGAGGTTGCACGACTACAATATGCATTTATCAGCAGTAGCTTTGATGCTGCCCTACTTCGCAGCAGCTGGGAGGGGACAGTATGCAAAAGCTTTAAGACTGTATTTGGAGCAGGATGCTATTTTTAAAGTCAAGTATGGGGCGTTTTTAAAGACCTTTAAAGTAACTGGGCTTCACACGGTTAGTTACAACGACCACGAGTGGGCCGGAGTGTGGACTGACCTCTCCATAGAGCAGAGTCTTATGACGGCAGCTAAATCTAGTGGTGGATTAACAAGTGGAAGGATGTGTAATTGTGAGTCCGCTCACAAGTTATGGGTGGCCACCCTGAATCAGATGGCTTTAATAAATCAGTCTTTTGGAGATTCATTAGCTAATTCATCGAAGCGAGGAGTACCAACTAAAGCTGCCATCCACTTAGATCTTACCAAGTCATCAATCAAGAAAAACTGTGATGTATTTGGAAAATTATTAACTTGGTTTAAAGTTACTGTCGACTTTACAGAATCCGAAGATAAGACTAAGTTAATATCTTTTTCGACTGGTCTTATATCACAGCCTGGGAACGATGAGGTGAATCCCGAGGAATGTTTGGCCGTTGGGGCTGTCCTTCAACGTGAGCTAGATGGGTTGACATTCATCGATAAGATAAGTATCAAAGGTAAAGCAAAGAACTTGACACAACTAAGAAAGCAGGTTAAAGTGAATAATAAAAGCGTTGCAGTCGATCCGTTGAAGTGTTTTAACCGTCTAGTCTTGGTTGCTGATAGAGAGACTTGAATAGAGGAATGCCTAACATACGAGTTAACTGTGGTGCCGATGAGCTTATTTGATCAATATCAGATGATGAGGAAATCTAATAAGGCTGCTCTTGGTATAAACCAATCTACACTTATATCTTGCAGCTTCACGATCCCACTAGTCATTGATGGAGGTTGGCTAATTCACCAACTAAGCTCATTTAAAGGGTGGGACAATTATGGTGAGGTAGCAATGGAGTACTTGAAGCTTATCCCTAAAAATCGGGAAGTTACTGTGATTTTTGATGGATATGAGCCTTCTACTAAAGATCACGATCACAAGAGGAGAGTAAAAGCGTTCTGTGCTAATATTGCTGTAAAGAAATTCACCTTTTGTACTGTCACCAAAACAACATTTCTGAGCAACAACAATAACAAAAAAGAACTGATCGACCTTATCTCAAGCATTTTTACTGTAAATGGTATTGAAGTGATCAGAGCTTGTAACGATGCTGATACTTTAATTGCAAAGAAAACATTGGAAATGTCATTCCTTGGCGATGTTGAATTGAAGGCAGAGGATACCGATATAGTTCAAGTCTATTAGTACATCATTTCAACAGTGACCATCACAATGATATTTATCTAACAACGAAAAAGGGTAAATATTCAATCAAAGAAATATCAAGTCATCTAGATCATAAAGAAAAGGAGATACTTCTTCTAATTCATAGTATTTCAGGTTGTGATAGTGTCAGTGGACTGTTTGGTTTTAGCAAGGTTAAAGTGCTAAAGAAAGCTCTCACCTTTGATGAGCAAGGTCAGTTGGCAACATTACTTTCGGTGAGAGAATCAAAAGAAAAGATTATTGAGGCAGGCCTCTGTTTCTTGCAGTACATTAATTATGGTGACAAGAAAAAGACTCTTTCTGCTTTGAGATTCCTAGCATACAATAGGATGGTAGCGAAAAAGAGTCTCAATCCGAATAGGCTACCTCCAACAATAGCTTCAGCAACGGAGCACATCCTTAGAGCTTACTTACAGTACCATAACTGAGTCATGCTTAACGCTGACAGTCTGAATCCCCTTGACTACGGCTGGAAATTGGCTCCTGGTGGCACTTACGAACCAGTTGCACCAGAGTCTATTTTGACCTTATATGTTGTAACTGTTCTGTCGATGTGGAACAGGCCTGTTTGACTTTCAGATGTTCATGTAGGAAATATGGCTTCAATTGTTTGCCAGCTTGTGGACGATGCCATGGTATGAACTGCACAAACATTAGACATGATGACCCTGAAGAACAAGCGAATTTTGATTAATATTAACTGTGTATTAATAATTGTCATGGTACTTACTGAGAATACACATTTTAGATTAACTGTATTTGTTATTTGTAGATAAATTTTTAAATAGATTTGAAATAAGCGTTAAAAATAATTTGGTGTATTTTTTTTCGAAATTTCAATAAAATTGAGAAAAAATTCGAAAAATTCCATTTATTTCGAAAAATAAAGCTCCAATCGTTCTGAAACTATCATTCGCCTGCCATAATGTGGCCATTGCGGTCATTTTGAACCCCCTATGGAGATCTCAAGACCTTCGGGAGCCGAATAACCAATATTAGGGGTGGGGCGTATGGGTTCCTGGAGAAAAATGACTATACAAATTTTTGCCCAAAAGTTTCAGCTGGACGGTTTTTTTTGGTGGTTCCTGGGACCATGGACAACACATTCCTGTAGACAAACCTTTGTTACGAATTTGTTCACAGATTGACCCATAAACAGCAATTCTTGCCCTAACTACACGTCTAGCATGGATGAGGGATCGTAGTCTGGAATTTTGTCATTGGGACCACTATTTAAAACAAATCTTTTCTTGTTTTAATGTTAGCAGATACAGCTTTGTTTGAATCAATACCACAAACAAACAAAAAATATCACTCCCTCTATTTATAAACTGCAGTCCTCAATTTAACCTTTAAAAATTCTTAACTGAATTATTTCTTCAGTGAAGCAGAAGAGAATTAATGCTGTTCGGGCTCGAAGCACATCTCCAAACTTTGTCTCTTCTCCCAGCAAGGTATGAGATATAATACAGATGTAATAGCTCAACCATTTACTTTTTAAATCTTTGATGACTCACGAAATTCCAACTTCCCTAGCAAATGAGCTCTGATGTAGACAGGATTATGTAGCACAGTTCAATTTAACGACTTTTAATGGATTTTGTAACTTCAGAAAAACGTTTATTGATATTAAGTGACGCATTTTATGATCCACGTTTCCAAGAAATTCAAAACATCACTCATCAACGCGGTGCCATATCTTGAAAAGCTTTGCTTTAAGTTGGTAGCCTGTATAGAGTAAAGCCTAGAGGGTACATGATGATCCATCACGTGACCACCGAGTGTAGTCACGTGACCAAGTTTAATCCCCCACGTGACCAAGGCTAGTTAGCGTGGACAACTCTGGGATTAATGAGTTGTGTTCGTGTCAGGCCGAGAACAATTGTTAGGTGATTGTGTTGCGATTAATGACACCGGCTCTTCCTTGGGAGCTTGTGTTCAATCAATACAAACTAGACTCAGACCAATTTTCATTTTTTACAACAGTTAATAACTTAATTAATAACATTGCAGAGTTTATCTTTACTGTCACCTAGTGAGCGGGCCTGCAGTCTGCAGGAAGTATACTACTAGGGGATATCAGTTACACACACACAAACAAACAAACACACACACACACACACACACACACACACACACACACACTACCCCCGGCCCTGAGATGACTTCACTTTCCATAATTGCATCACATACTGAGTGTGTGTGTGTGTACCACTCACTGTATACTCGTAATGCAATAATACACACTCTCTGGGTGTCAGTAGGCCAGTTTGACGGTCATCTGTCAGGGAGTTCAGCCTGGTTACCGCAAAAATAAAGGGACACAATTGTAAAATATTGATTTGATTTGACGAACCATAATGTGACGGTAGGAGGACACATTTTAAGTCATGGCTTGAATATCAAATTATTGCCGGTGTAACCCAAACTTAATTTTACATTTATGATAATTTTTGGTGACCGCGTTTTGTCATTAGAATACTCTTGTGATATTCAAGTTTGTAAACTGAATTTCAGAAAAATTTGCCTCCGACGCGACATGCACACAATATGATACAATACAATTTAATGGAATTTTATTACTACAGGTTCATTTTCGGTTTGCATGTATGTAGTTAAGATTTATGAAGTCGCACACTAGTCGCAGTTAAGTCGCACACTACATATTATGTTTATGTATGACGTCATGCAAATGTTGCCCGGTCAAAATTACAATTAAGTACCCATGAGTAAAATGTCCAGAATTTCCGGCATCCTTTCCGGCATAATTTACTGACAAAAATGTAATCCTAATTTTTTGACGAACTCAAATGTCGCTACGCTATAAGATTACAGTTTGCTAAACCTACATTTTAGGCTCAATTTTAACTTTCAGCCGTGATAACCCTCTTTAATTAAACGTATTAATATGATTGCAGCACTCCAACTATCCTAAAATGCCACTTTAACCTTGCATATGTTAATTACATCAGCCCGTTAATGGACCTCCATCATATGGGTTATGAATTTTCAAACAATTGTAATTAGATCGGATTCTTCAGAAATGCAGTATTTGTGACGCACATTCAGCCGATCATTTATATCCCTTAAAATATAAATCTAATTTTACAAGGCTAAGGGGGGGGGGGGGGGGGGGGGAGGGGGCTATTTTATATTATGACGCAATGAAACTATCGGACAACTACATGTTGAATGCTAGTAGAAAAAACTCACAAAAGCCGCCCCTTCCCATCGTCCTGGCTAACAACACTCCCCGCCCCCCCCCCCCCCCCTGGTGGAGAATCCCCGCTTCACTCGTCACATTGCCCCCCTACAGACTACCACCAACTAAAGAGAGATAATTTGATGAGCTGATACGGGAGACACTTAAAGACCGGTGCCAGCCGTCATCACTGAAATGCTTTTATCAAAATTAATCTCGAGTTAAAGATAATTTATCTGATACGCTCCAACTTATTCTCACAGTAGTATGCTGAGAGCCGCTTTCAGCATACTACTGAGCGTAGCTACGTTGTGGAACGAGATTGTGTGAGAGAAACTTATTTGAGATGCGTCACCTGGAGAGTGGAGACCTGCTTGTTTTGAATGATTTATTGATACTTAAAAACTAGACTTGACATAACCGCCCTTCACACGTGGGAATTTTGGAGTAATTTAGAAAAACAACAATTAGAGAGTCACGTGACAACGTGTAAACATGTTATCAGAAATATGCTCTTCTGTTTGTAATGGTGTTATTAATGGTGTTTTGTATTTCAGAACTACCATGATCTGGTGTTTAACTCTTTAATGGTTACTGGGTAGTTGTTGTAAGCTATCCCTACACCACCGCGCCAAGAGAATTTCCAATACTGACTACGCTGAGGTCTTAGAATATACTAGGATACATCATGAACTGGGAATATATTCAATATTCATTAAACTAGCCTGAGCAGCCATGTTAGTGAGATCCTTGAGACTGGTCTTATCTTGTGTGGTCTGTTCCTGGAGGTACTTGTTCAGACATTGGTCCATTAACTCTTCTATTATGTAAATAGGTTCTTCCATCGAGCAAACCGCGTATAAAGCTACCAACCTGAAGTTGAATTAAGTTAATTGATAATATTTAATTACAACATTTTAAAATTGTATTCATCCCTGGATTATCAAAAATAATATGGTTGTATGGGATTATTCCTATCTTAATTTTTTTCAGCTGGACTCGGCTAAGAAAATCTGTGCCGTGTACAAATGTACATTGGCCTCAAAGCAGTAAACTCATACCACAATACCTCAATACGCATATAAGGCATAATTAAAAATTGTTATCTGGTAGCGCACGAATTCATTACATTAACGTTGGAAATATTCCAAAGTATTTTTCTTTCGCAAATAACATGATCGGAAATTCATAATTGTCCAATAAACGACCAATGTCAATTAATTAATTAAATGTCAATTCAGCTCTTTTAAACGTTATTAAATTCGCATCATAAAAATGCCCATTTCGCTTAAAACAATGATATCATATTGTATCAAATGCAAAGTGTATGACATTTTCATAAAGCATCTGGCATGTACCAATATATTCCGCCCCCCCCCCCCCCCCGGCCCCCTCCCCCGCCACATTTCTAACACGACCCAACTTTAAAGCTGGCCAGAATGTAACTCTACATACTTGTTATGTTTGAGATTCTTCATGACGGACGCCTCCTTAAGGAATTCCTCACGTGACATGCTGCCCGGCTTGAGCTGCTTCACTGCTACCGCCAGGGTCCCGTTAAACTCACCTTGCCACACCTGCAATAGGGTCATGTATTAGCAGTGTGTAGTCTTGTATTAGCAGTGTGTAGTCTTGTTGTGTAGCTTGTAAAACGTATAAACTACAATGTAAAATATGAGATAATATAATATAGAATATGTAGAATATACCCGGTTTCTTCGTAATATTATAATGATGGGAAATATTTATTATTCTATTCAAATTGTGGGATTTATTCAAGGCTGGAAAAGAGTATGGCTGAATAAATAGAGTGGGGTACGTGTGCGGATTTTAAACACATTTGGTAATGAAAAATTAATTTTTACGACTTGTATCGATACTTTATTTTTGGTTACGAAATAGGGTCAGATCAACTTAATCTGGAGGGGTATAATTATTGTCATAAAATTTACTTCATTATTTCTTCATTTTGAGAAATTAAGATTTTATTCTTTGGGAAAGAAGAGTGGAAATATGTGCATAGATAGATGGATCATGTTGTTGTTTGTTAAATATTAACTTATTAAGTATTATAAGTAGTGCGTTCAAAAGTCGTTCATCGACCCAAAAGCCCAAAGCTACAGTAAGAAAGTGTCCTATATCAACTCATAACCACTCATCGCAGTAACCACTCAGTAACCACTCATCACATTAGACTACTTAGACCCTTACTTAAACTTCAGTCACATACTTGGTATAATGACCCAGATGAGTAAATGAAGGCACTAAAAAGTAAAACACTGTGCAGTGTAAGGTGTATGATATTAGAAGGTATAAGGTATTATTATGTGGCTACGGATGTACCAGATGGTGTTTAATAATCGAATAATCAAAAAAAAAACTGTAAATGGCCCCACGCCCCTACCTCTCCGTAGTGTCCCTCACCCAGGCACTTTGTTAGTTTAATAGAAGAGCGTGGTATTTCCCACTCATCCTGTGTGCTGTGTGTCAAACTCAGGGTTTGAGGAGTGCTTTGTCCTTTTATAGGGGGTTGTCCTGCAGAGAGAGAGAGAGGGGTTTCAGGACTAGTATATGTTTATCAAAACACTTGGTTAACGTATAGTGTCAAGTGTGTAAAGTAATGATTTGTTTAAAGCGTGCGTTATAGAATATAGACAGAATAACATTGAAGGAATTAGAGGAATATTGTGTCTTGCATGTTTGTTAAATCTTAATAAGTTAATTATCTGTTCATTGGTTAACTAGTTAATTGACTGAATTGTAGAAGGAAGCTGTTTTTACCCAGTTTTACGCAGAGGCCATCCTCTTTGGTGCTGTAATGTTGTATGAGAAGTTGGATCGTTTCAAATTTCACTTTGTGCGTTATGTAATACTTGTTAGCTGAAAATAAATTTACTTACTACTGCTTAATTATGTTAATTCAATTTAAAATCATATAAGAAGTCAAGAAATATATAAATTATCGAAAGGATCTAAAATCTATTAAAAAACTATTTCTTTGAAAAAAAGGGTCAATCACAACCAATTGTCGGATCCCAACCGTTCTAAAAGGCCATCTTGTTCATGTTAGCTTTTCGTATTAAAAGCGATTTCTCGACGGTTATTACCTCTCTAGATGATGCTTAAAACATTTTGACTCTATTGCATTTTTGTACTAAATGCAATACGGGCGTTTTCGGCCACATCCTTTTTCAGGGTTTCACGGTCACTCGAATTTTTGTATTTCAACCCAGAAACGTCGTAGAGACTATTCCCATAACCAAAATGTGCCTAATAGCCATATTTATATACAACTTATGAAGCAATGTATACCTTAAAATACTCATTTTCGGAAATGTGGCTGAAAAACGGATTTTTGCTGAGCGAATAAAGACAATATTCACAATTGGGCTATTGGACTGTTAACTAGAAAGGTCCTAAAGACTCATGAGCATTGAGCAACATAGCATTTGTCACAAGATGAAATATGACTGACTTTGTGTCCAGAAACACCTATAAAAAATTGGAGAATGATATACTTTATTGGGCATCTCTCTTAATGGGCCTGGCCAGCAGCATATTTGTGTCTTACGAAAGGGCAATTTTTCAAAATTACGGGTCCTTTAGTAAAGGTCAAACTTCAAAGTAAAGGTCAAAGGGTCAGCTGCTAACAGCAAATTGTTCGCAATTGCCGACTCCTGCACAACATATACTCAAAAACGCTCAGTTTAGGAGTGATTAGTAAATAAGTTTAACTACTGCATGATTTGTGAAAACTCCAACAATTTTTCATAGGCACCAATTTAGCCAAAATTTAATGACAAAAATTCAACTTTTAATTTATTCGTTCCATGAAACTATGACATGTACTAAGAATACCGGACCTAAAATAATTCGGCACTGGATCCGGACCAGATTGTCGCTTGACTACAGCTGACCAGTACCCCACTTTATGATTATAATTGACTTCGCTGCCTCGACCAATATTGGTCTGTAATCCCTGGATTGAGATCTGTTGGCCGCAATTTAATTTAGCTCATTTACCATAATAGTAATACCGCAAAATGAATATGGGGTCATTCTGAAGTAGGAACCAAACCACTGCGGCATTATAGGAAAATAGCTAAATTTAAATTATGGATCCGGGTCAGATTGTTGCTTGACCGTTGACCAGTACCCCACTTTATAATTATAATTGACTTCGCTGCCTCGACCAATATTGGTCTGTAATCCCTGGATTGAGATCTGTTGGCCGCAGTTAAATTTAGATAATTTCCTATAATACCGCAGTGGTTTGGTTCCTACTTCAGAATGACCCCATATTATTTTTGCGGTATTACTATTATGGTAAATGAGCTAAATTAAACTGCAGTCTGCGGCCAACAGATCACAATCCAGGGATTTCAGACCAATATTGGTAGAGGCAGCGAAGTCAACTATAATTATAAAGTGGGGTACTGGTCATTGGTCAAGCGACTTGGCCCATTAAGAGAGATGCCCAATAAAGTAGATCATTCTCCAATTTTTTTAGGTGTTTCTGGACACAAAGTGAGTCATCTTACATCTTGTGACAAATGCTATGTTGCTCATGAGTCTTTAGGACCTTTCTAGTTAACAGTCCAATAGCCCAAATTTGTGAATATTGTCATTGTTCGCTCTGCAAAAATCCGTTTTTCAGCCACATTTCCGAAAATAAGCCTTTTAGGGTATATGTTGCTTCATAAGTTGTATATAAATGTGGCCATTATGTACATTTCAGTGTATCAGAATAGTCTCTGCGACCTTCCTAGGCGGAAATGTCAAAAATCGCAGAAATTGTGAACTGCATCAAGCCAAAAACCGTTTTTCGGCCATATTTCCGAAAATAAGTATTTTAAGGTATACATTGCTTCATAAGTTGTATATAAATATGGCTATTAGGCACATTTTGGTTGTGGGAATAGTCTCTACGACGTTTCTGGGCTAAAATACAAAAATCACGGAAATTATGAACTGCGTCAAGCCAAAAACCGTTTTTCGGCCATATTTTCTAAAATAAGTATTTTAAGGAAAGAAAAAAATCTTATTGTTAAAATGGGGAGGCGGGAGGATGTTTAAAAGAATTCCCTCATACCAGAAGTTCTGATGCGATAATGTTTGACAGTGCTGTAATCGTAGACGGAAAGTGAAAAGTCAAGTGGGTTAGTCTCACTCTTCCGCACTATAAACGCAGAGTGTTGTGAACACTGAGTTAACAACTTCTCAGCCTCTGCTCTCTTGTACGTCCCGAAATACCATCTGAAATGGGACAAGTTATGATGTTGTCAATAATTGTATTATTTAAAATAATATGATAATAGAATTTGCTAAAAGATCGAGTTTTTGTAGAAGACAAGATTTGTTACAAATATATGATTTATGTGCTATTTTTAGTGCATGTAGATTGTAGCAGGTAGCTAGATATTAATACTTGTAATACAATATTCAACCTAAATAGGGTTATAACACTGAATGATACACTACAAGCCAGGCCAGGGTCAACTCGTGTCGGTAGTATTAAAAACTTGACAATATATAAACTTGACAATTTGTTGTTAAGTGCAGAGTAAAATCACCCAGAATTAGCACCCGTGCATTCACAATTAGAGCTTTGTACAACACCTTGGATCAGTGTTAAAGTAATTAAACTACCCCAAATAAGCTAATTTAGCACAGTAAGACATTGCGGAGATTACAGAATACAGAGGGGTAGTACGTGACATTTTGCTTTTCAACACAGCAAGAAGAAGAAGATATAAGGTTACAGCTCACATAACGGCATATAATTGTGTTAACCACACCACTGTGTGTTAAATACAGTGAACAGTCACAAGGTTACTTCTAAGAAATGACCGTGTGGATATGATCTTGATTCTGAAGAAATTTATTGGCAGCCAGCAAGTTACGAAATGAGTAGAGCATGATAAGAAAAGAGTACAACATTACCTTTATATCACGAACCTGGATAATATGTTATAACATTTAAAAAACAATTATTTTGAGTTGAAAATATGTACTTCTGTCAAGGAAAAAAAAACCACTAACTTCTGTGCCTCCAAAGTAGTTTCATCAGCCACATAGTTCATAGGTATATACCCCTCGATATTAGTGCTAAGATTCCTGGCTTTCCACCAGCCACCATTCCTCTTGTCTAGTATAATCATTCGGTCATCCTTCTTGAAAGTCAGATCTCCCTCTGTTCTGGGTGTATAATCGTACCTGGACGGGAGATCCTCTCGTCAAATGAATTTATCTCGTCAAATGAATTTATCTTAATTTTTAAACTTAATTTCAACAATTACTATCTTAAATTAGCGTTGTTACAATGTGCTTTATCAAAAAACTATTAAAATATCCTCACCGCGAAATCAACTAAGATGACAACCATTTATAAACTCACAAAGCAATGACAATTTCAAGCTGTTCAGCTGGGTTCTGAGGGGGAACAAGTGAGGGTGTGGGTGGGGGAGCAATGTTGGGCGGGCCAGGGCATGGCTTGCTGTTTGTCTGTACTGGTCCGGATACAGAGGATGTTGTAGCTTTGTTGCTTGATTTTCTACGAGATCTCTTTAGTGATAATCTGAGAGAGTGAAAGTATTTAGCATCTAGGAGTATTATATAGAACATTCAATCAGTGGCGGATTTCGATGTACAAAAGTAATGTGATTGATCATCAACAAGAATTGCGCCCGTTGTTTCGTTTTGGCGGACGCTAGATTTCCATTTCACTATAACTATTAATATAAGCTCTATAATCAGCTCACCTTATAATAATAATATTGAAACATCAGTAGACTACGCGTGCCACATTCAAGTTGGGCTTATTACAAAATACTATACATTACTAGTATACATTAAAATACGCTCGTGCCGCGCATTCATTGACCACAGACTAGCTATACACCACATCTCCGCAAGCAATCCCTGTGCGCGTGCGCGCGGCAAGTTGACATGGTAACGAACGGAAGCAAGTAAGTAAGTAAGGAACACGACATATATTTGACCCACCTACCGCTATCTCCAAAATCCACGTTTTTCTGCAAAAACGTCCATTCGTAACCTTTCACTATTGCCTTTTTTCAAAAGGGTGAAAAGGAAAAAATTAAAGCAAGATATACAAAACAGAATATGAATTAATGAAGTATTCTATAATATCAAACCTCCTTCTGGGTAAAGAAAAAGTTGGCCTGCGTTCTGATGACAAAAGATTTCCCATGATTGCTGTCTACAGTTACATTTCGTGATATCTCAAACTAAAATTCTACATGGCCTGGAGTAGTAATTTTAGGTTATAATACGATAAAAATAAAAGGTGCATAAAATATAGCACATACCTCCCTTTTGATATAATAGTAGTTAATAGTTAATAGTACTATGTTTACAGTATGCACTGAAGGGGTATCCTAGGAAGTTTCTTGAACTTTTAACAGGTACCCCTCCTCATTTAACCCTCAATAAAGTTTCCTATCATTCGGCTGAGTCGACCGAGGAGATCACATAGATCCAATGGATCCTTAGATACTCCCTAGACTAGGTGACGCTGGGATTCGAACCCTGAACCTTCTGCGCAGAAGGCGGATGCTCTAACCACTAGGCCACCTAGCCCCTAATGCTGATAATTGATAAAATATCTGTCACGAAACTTGAAGTCCATCGATATCTAACACGCAAAAATACTGATCAAGTCATTGTACAATGTACCTGATTTAGAAAACCATAAGAAAACGTCAAGTTACATTTTACTGTAAAACCTCTGCTACATTGTAATTAAATCTTGGATAGCTGATAATTTAACTAACTTCTAGTGGGCAATAACATGCTCTTGGTAAAATTATATTTACAAATTCATGGACCCACAGAAACATTATGGATATGCAGAGCTAGAGAAGTTGGGAAAGAACAACTTTGTTTTCCAAGCAGAAACATTTTTTGTAGATAGAACTGCTCAAAACGTCTACAGGAACATTAACACATTATACTGTGACTCGTAAGCCACCATCAAATCCCCAACAAAACAATATTGAGAAATAAATCCACAGTAAACTATCCGAAGGCTTCTCTAGGCTTGCAGAACAACAAAATAAAATAACATAAATCATCACAAAGTATGGTGAAGATAAAATTATTCAAACAATATACACATAATATAACAATTACCCTATATAAAAATTCAATATAAATTCAATAGAAAACTAAATAAACACCCTTTAAGTAGTATAAGTAAGCCAGTTTAAAGAACTGGCTCCAAATTTATATCTAATTCTGCTATTTTTACTGCACTACTACTTTATAACCCTCTCTCTCCTCTAAGAGCTATGACTGTTGTTCTCAAAAGGTCAAATCTTACTCTCTTCCTAATAAATGTCATTACCTCACTATATGAAGATAAAAAGTATGTCACACAAAGAGTCGACTTTTGATGGATAAAGCAAGCAAATGATCAAACGATAGATTGATTGATTGGGGGACTGGTCCGTAGTACCAGCCAATGTTTACTCAAAAGTAATATATAATTGAAATAAGTTAAATATTCATCCCCGAGGGGCACGCAGATTATAATTGTGATGTTATCTATTAAAACTTTAAAACTAATCAATTAAAATTTTATTGGTCGAGTCGACTGGCCCTGATCTGCAAACATATTTGATATTAGTAACTTTATGATGCTGCCTCACCGCAATTAGGTGTGTTATCAGTGTAGATATGCGCTATGTGGCAGTGAAATAAGGAATGTGCTGTTAGAATGGCAGGTGGTTTGAAATGTTGTCCTAATTCAGATTGTTTAATTTGAGCTGTATGAGTTTGGTTTTGAGTGATTATTGACTATTATTACTATATTAATGTTCTTTGTGATTTACGTAATCCAGGTAGGTTGTGGAGTAAAAATGGTGGCCATTCGTCGTTGCAGCCAGCACTTTGTAAGTCTAGTAGTACTTTTTTTGACGAATTCTTATATATGTTGATAGAAAATATACTGGATGGGCATGTGATGCGAGTGTTATGCTCTGAAATAGCGAGCATTGGGCCTTTATAAAAGATGCTAGATCTCAGGTCAGTCTGTGAGTAAATTGATAACCAGTCTAAGTTTTGTTCGTGTGTCGTTCCTTGTTTGGGTGTGTTAGGAGGGAAAAGTTCTGAAATCGATTTAGGTAACAAACTAGACATATTTCGAACTTTGTGCAGTAAAATAAGTGCGTTTTTAACGATAACCCCTTGAACGGTTAAGACCTCGTGTTCTTTAAATGCTAGTTTTGTGTGCTCTGGCAGTTTTCCGTCCTTGTAGTAGTAGTTCACATTTCCGGCCATAACTGCCCTCATACCTTGTTTTTGTTTAGCAAAAAGAGATTCTATAAGAGGTTTTGAGGCAAATCCCCAGACAAGGAATTAGTATGGATGAGACTCCACATCTAATCAATGAGAATGCACGAAAATATGTAATAGGTAGTTCTGAGATACAACAATAACACCGAAGAAATATTTTTGTGAAAATATGACAGTATTTGGTTCAGCGCTCGATTTTCATACTGTAATGTATATTGGCGAAAATATGCGCGGCGCGACTTCAATTTTAGTTTCATTTTAAAATAATTTTTGGCAATAGTTGTGTTACATACATTTTAATAAGTTTATTGTTAACACAGATCATGTAAAAATTTGCTCATAATATAGCACCAAAATACAAAAGCAAAATTAATTTGTAATTGCACGCAGAAAGTTTGCAAGTTTTGATGTTTGACTACTTTTTTCATTTTTACCCAAAGAAATGGAAGGGTTTCAGATTTGCTCAATTTAATACAATATTATATTATCGTATGCGCGGCGCAGCGGTTAGGTTCAAACTATCTTATTTATGTTATTAAAATTTTGCTGATTTAGATTATATGCATATGCTACGATTCTCGATGTCAATCCTTCGCAGGAATTGGCAATAATCGATTTTATTTTGTTATGGCGCATGCAGGATCGGATCGAACAAGGAAATTGCCGTTTCGACGCGCGCATATCATACTTGATTCACTTCGAGTTCGAAGCATTAAAGATCGCAGCAGATCTACCAGCTAACAAGAAATGCGGCCGCTTTTCTTTTGTGGATGGCCGCTCAATTTCCCGATCCGGGATGAAGTATTCTATCATATTCCATACCAGTACCACCTGGGGACCCCAGTCTTTGCTGTTTATAAGCATGCAGATATGGCGGAGTGACAGGCCGAGCGCCGCCCAGTTGATATAATTCAATTCTATATTGAATTTGAAAATCGTGTATATTTCTATGTAACTATATGTTTATTGTTTATGCAACCTGACACGGATCTGTGCAAAATAGTAATACTAACTCAAAATAATAATACAATGCTATCAATTAGTCCCTATCGGGATGCGTACATGGTAAAATTAACAATGTACTTGAACATTTCAGCACCGCGCGCCAACAATTGTTTAATTCAGATGATTGCGCAAAATAACTTTGCGCAGGCAGACACGTGGGCGATAACTAGACTGGGGGCGAGGGCACGCACGCACGCACGGTCGCAAAGCTACCATATACAAAAAAAACCTCGATCGCTAACCCTTGTCCTTGACTCTTTTGTGCCTTCGGCACTTTGAGTCATGGATCGGGAAAAAATAAAAGCAAAAAGGGTTGGTGCCTCGACAATCATTGTAGGTTTACAACCTACCAGGACGCGCGCCGAGTTGGACTCGTCGACTATGGAACAGATATTTTACGAGTATCACCCGTTAACGACAATCAGAGCTAGTTCAACAAGTGAACAGTTAAAGCCAATTTAAGGTTAAGTGTTAACTGTTAAGACTAGACTGGATCTGGACGAGTTATTTTACTTTTAATAGGGCCTATAACATAAGTTCAACAGGGATTTTGGAATCATTATGAGTTGTCCGGATACAAATATAAATATAATTAAACAGATAGAGTGATCGTCACACCAGTAGTTTTGTAGGTTTATTATATATCCTACCAGGACGCGCGTCGAGTTTGGAACAAATATTTTACGAGTATCACCCGTTTAAACAGTAGTTCAGAAAAGTCAAATTCGATAATTTTGATGGTTTTCTAAAAGTACCAAAAGTATTTACATTAACATTGTATTCTATTGTCATACATCGTAATATTATTGAAACGTTATTAGATATTTCTGAAATCATCTGAATAATAACTTGTTCTATCTGTTAATGGTATAGTATTAGTATGTTTCCGTTCAAAATAAACCAAATCATTTGGAAAGGCTACATCTTCTGTGCTGCTGAATAAAAAAACTCTGTTTAACAACCTATTTCGTTCAACGCAAGTTAATCTTAAAATTATAGAGCTGGTTGTATTAAATCATCTGAACTAAACTGTAAATCATGTAATACTGCTACAAACCATGTAGCTCTGAACTAAAGATCTTAAAACTCTGAATTTCCATAATAAAAAGAAATAAAAATCATAAAATAACCACCTCTAAGGTCTGTAAACTGAATGATTTAGCACGAAATTTCAAAACTTAAATTCGATTCACAATACCATGAATCAATGACAATAGTTCATAATAAAATATATTTTGTACTCGTTAATGGTGAACGCAAACTGGGAATTCTTCGAACCGGATCAAAATAATAAGTTTCACTAAAATGAAAATAAAAGCTAAATTCACGATCACCTTACACCTTATTCAATACCTCAGCATGTCACAAATCTCCCTACCCGGCAAAAAATAATTCATTTTCGCAAATATACTGAAAAATTATCACACTTTGAAAATGCAAAAAATGTAAATAACTGATTTCGATAATATCAACTCATGGTTAAAATATAAGCAGACCTAAATGAAATATAAAATTTGTGATATCATTCGAGCATTCGTGCTGACCACGGCGTACAATATCTTTTGAATGATGTCTGTCACAAAATCAACAGAAAAACAAATATTCTCATCACTAAAACGACAAAACAACCCCCTCTGATAAGCTGAGTACTAAACTTAGAAAATATTATGCGGGCTCTCTTCCAAAAATGCAGTGACATTCAGCCCAATATCCAGGAACACGTCACCGAGCACTTTATCTTCTAAACTCTCCTCCACATCCATAATGTTAAACAAGTTAAAGTTCTCTAAGTCAGTGGTTTTATCACCCTCCAGGAAGGGTTTCATGGTTTGGTAGGTACTGGGTACCTCGTAGTTTCGCGGATCGTAGTATATAGCCGTCTTTTTCCTGATTTCTGTGCTCAACTTGGTTAAGTCCATGGCGGCGGAGGGGTAGATTGAGCTAGTTTGTCCGGCGGTGTACTTGTCCAGATACCGCTCAGAGAACGCCTGGAAGGTTCCGATAATTAATCATGAGTAGCATTTTTTAATCAACATGGTCATGAACCATAAAACTGTTGTGTTGGAGAATGTGCTAGATTCCAGGCCTTTGGAAAAATGATAACAATCACCCGGTTAACATTTCACAATACAAATGCTTACTTGAATGTAATGCTCAAAGTTAAGGATAGGGTTAACAGCGATAGAAGCCTTGAACCAGTCAGGCTGTCTCTCAACCATCTTCAGAGCCAACCAACCTCCCATCTTCTCTCCCATTATCGCAACCTTATCTGGGCAATTTGTGCGTTAGTTTACTACTGTAGCCGTGTTTGAGGGACATTATTAGAATTGTTGGTAGAGTTGTGAAAGATATAAAAGTTGTGAAAGAAATAAAAGTGAGAGACAAAATCTTAATGAGTTTATTAATTTTAACCTTTGGTCAAGGTTGTCTTTCTTTTCTTTGTACGGGTTACTCTTTATCTCTTAGCACCTTTAATTCTACATAAAATGTTTGACCCTCAATTCGGTTTCTTAGAGTTAAGATCCGTTTAACCGGAAATGAGATTAATATCCGGCAGTTTCCGGTCGGGTTCTCCTATAGCCCAAACCCCAAACCAGTTCCACATATATCGAGTTCACTACACTTGTAAAAAGTGTTATTCAGTGACATTTTTGTCTGACAAACAGTATCGTTTACCCCTGTTTTGCCTTTGGAAATGTACAATGTGAAAACTGATGGGAAAATAATAGAAAAAAGAAGAGTTTAAGAAAAATGTAATTTAGTGTACTTTTTTACTACAATTTTCACTACAACATACACAGAAAAAGAAGTGTAGTGTAAAAAAGTGTAAAAATACGAGGCTGTAGCCTGTATCTGCTAACATTAAAACAAGAAAAGATTTGTTTTAAATAGTGGTCCCAATGACAAAATTCCAGACTACGATCCCTATACGTAACGGTTGAATTTCATGAGTCATTTTTAAAAGTTATAAATTTTTAAAATTTTGAAAAAGACAGCGTACACGTCTAAATCAATGTCGCCTCATTTTAATTTATATCGTCATAATAATAGGATCGTACTTAATGTCACATGCGCAAGATTAGTCTGGAACAAATCAAGCATGTGATCGATCGAACATCGAACACGCGTATTAAAATTGTCCGCCATTTCTACTTTTGTTTAACTTTGAGTTTGAATTTTGACACGCGGATCGTGCACAATCCACTATTCTATTGTATTACTTACTTGCTGTTAGTGTTGTGTTTATCAATTTACAGTGCATTTCAAAGCAGTGGCGTAACGTTGCCTGTTGGCACCCCCCGCCGAAAAGGCTTCCCCCTGTTTTGCTAGTACCTAAGTTAAGTTTTTCAAAATTGTCCCACATTAAAACTACGATTTGGCGCCGCCCCCAAGATGGCGAAGAGAGCAATGACCAATGAAACACAGTACGAGAAATACCTGCGGAATGGGAATGAGATATTTAAAACCTACTGTTCAACTGGAGACAAACATCCCATCATGTTACCCAGAGCTCCTCAACAAAAGTATATAGACATTTACCCTGAAGATCAGCCCGGATGCAGTTTTGAAAACGACAGAAACCAGCAACTCAACTATGAGGCTGAGGTAATTGTATACAGAGCTTTAGAGAGTCTGAGTGGTGAAGATTTGATTGTTCTCCACAGTTTTGAATATACTCATTTCCAATATTATCTGGGAGATTTAACCCATGTTAAACGAAGATGTACCGAGTGCAAGAAGAGAGCAACTAACAGAGAAGGCGAATGCGATTTTGTAGTGATAGCACCAAACTACGTTGTTATAATCGAAGTGAAGAATATGGGTCATATCGGGAGACAATTAGACCCTGGTTGTAGCGAAGATCACCTGCAGTCGCAAGCATTTGCCAAAACTTTCCAGAAATCACTGGACCAGAGGAACAAGATGGTAGAATTTGTTAAAAGATTTTGTAAGCGGTTCACAGTTCTCCAGTTTACTGTTTACCCCAACTTTGAAAAATCATCCAAGAAAGATTTTCAGCTAAGCAGAGATCAACTTTCATCAATAATTTTCAAAGAAGATTTGAAATATTTTAGTGATTGGTGGAAAGACAATATAAGTGATTTTGTCTTGAATGAGCCTTTGCATCCTGAGTTTCGGACCAAACATGAAGATGTTAGGAACTTATTGTTAGCTATATGGTGCACAGACAAGACCATTTGTGATAAGTCCAAATGTAGTTTGGGAAAGTGTATAGCAAAAATCGACGAACAACTGCGTTCAGGAAGATTTACCTTCAGGAGCAATAACCCTCTAGTTATTCCATCACCCAAGATCGTCAAGGACTTTTTAGGAATAGACAACTTGACTAAACAACAGTACGACTTGATAAATTCAAGTGAGAATTTCTTGTGGATCAATGGACCCGCTGGAGCCGGTAAAACTGTTGTACTACTAGCTAAGATGCTACAACTAGCATTGTCAAGCGAAGACAACAAAATTGTGCTATTCCTTGAAACATATGACATTGATGACGAGATGACATCCTCAGAGCATCTACATAAGCCGCTAGACAAAGCAGATGTTAAGAACCTTTCTATTTTTGCTACAGAAATGGCAGAAAAACCTGCTGATGAAATATATCGTAAAATAAGAGGCTATCTTGAAGAGAATCAAGTTGTCATAATCATGATAAGGAGTGCTAATTATGATAGGGAGTGCTATGGTCTCAAGATTCTTGGAAATAGCTCACAAAGTGATATTATACGTTTATTTGAAGGAATTAACGTTTTTTACGACGATTTTCGGGTACATTTCGATTGCAATACACATTCCACTCTACTAGAAAACAATAATTTCGACTATGGATTACCCGAAACATTGTTTGAACTGTCACATTCTTGGCACGTTTGGATATCATGTGACATGCTACAAAGTCCTCTTCTTATGATTCCTGTTGAGAAGGTAACTTTAAGACCCAACTATAGACTAGTCAATTTTTTTACCGACACATTATCATCTACACAGCTTGTAAGTCTATCAAAGAACTTGAGAAACACCTCTGATTTGTCGAGAACATTGTCAGTAATTCGAGAACATATCATTGAGCAGGGACACATTATTGTATCAACATTTAGAAATGATTTCGCCATTTTACAAGCCCCCGGGCACTATATACATGGACCTACAACTACCGTACATGTTCTGCCAAAGTTTGATGAGAAACTTATAAATGATATTATAGTCAAAGAATTGAATGAATTATTTGATGATATTAAGATAGATAGTAATGATGTGGGTATTCTTCACTCTCTTACAGACACAGACAATTTACTTAAATCCACTTTGGAAGATATTTTGTTTTCAAAAAATATTCCACCAAGGAGGGTGATGTCAACATATTCAAAAGAATGGCCTGCAGTTATAGCACTGCAATCGTTCTTTGATCATAACAACGAGACACTGACTGAGAAGCGTATAATTTCATCTATTCCAGAACTTTTATATCTTGCCATGTCAAGAGCACGAGTTAAGTGCACAGTAATAATGTTTCCTAATTTTTCTAATGATACGATACTTGATGAGACAAATAGTAGTAGTCTGTTTGGTAAACTAAAAGATTATGTTAAAGTAAGATATCATTAAAACTTCAAATTTTAAAATACAGATTATTAACTGCAAACCATATTAATTTATCAATGATTAATGATTCAAATATTTTGTGAATCAACATTGGGATGAATTGCCTTGTACTGTTTTATTTTACTTTGTGGTTGATGATATAACTGATGCTTTTATCTTTTAAGTATGATATTTTAGACGAAGCTATAAAATACAGGGTGGGCCAAAAGTCAGTACCCATACGTTGGCCTTAATAGCTCCGCCGTGTTTTATATTTGAGAGCTGTTGCTTTGCAGATGGCATACTGTACTTACTGGTTCGAGGATTCTGTCGTCAAAATTTGAAAATTCGAATATTTTAGACCACGCCCATTCAATATTAAAACACCTATATTGTTTTCTCTGAACATGCTGAACGCCTAATTTTTTAGAGACGGTAGATTATTAAATGTTGCATATGATCTGAAAACATGAGGCAAAACGGATTAGAAATGACGAAGTTATCAAGCATTTTCTGTATCTCGTTAACAATATTGACTGGGTGATTATGTGACACCGTGACACGACACCTTAATTGGGCACCCTTAACAATTCCCATAATGTTTAACGGGGTAGTTAACGGGGGCACCTTATCACGTGATTAGGTAATCCAATCACCTGATCACACGTAATGAATAAACTCGTTATGCTTCATATCTCGGTCATCTGAGAAGCTACAGTTCTAATTCTTTCAGGACAAACGTAATTCGAATGGCCAAACACAATTCAATAACATTTAGCTTGATCCGACTATCCAAACTATCAAATAAATGTGAAAATGAACCTCCATTTGAAAAAAATGAGCGCGAATATTTTTCGAGTTGACAAATTCCTCGAACCAGTGGTGGTACTAAGTCATACCAGAAAGAAGTATTTAAATTGGGCACTCAGTGACTGAGCTATAAAGGCCAACCTATGGGTACTGACTTTTGGCCCACCCTGTAGCTTAAATGATAAATCCCAGTTCCCATATTTGGTTCTCGAATCGTTTTTTATCATTCAGTTGTATCAATTAAAGTTGTTATGGATTAACGATCATTTCGGGATTTACAGAAAAGGACTCCGCAGTTAACAGTGTCAACTGTACAGAAATGCGCGTACTGGAGTGAGTGCTAATCTCAAGAGCCGGTTTAAAGAAGTTAAGACTACTCACTGTCGTTGACGTGCCAGTACATCTTGATATCTCTGATCGCTTGTTCAGCCTTGTTGACGAGTCTCTGTAAAGTACCCAGGTTTAGCAAAGAGTGGGAGAGGGGTAGAGAGGGGTAAAGAGGAGTAGAGATGGGGGGGGGGGAGGGGAGAGAGAGGGGGCCATTACAACATGAAATTAACATTGGAAATACGAGGTAACACGACTCCTGTCCGACAGCGACATCTGTCCGAAAGCGACATCTGTCCGAATCAGGGTACCAGAAAAAAACGACATCTGTCCGAAATTGTGACCTGATTTCAATACGACACATTTCCAATTAGAGACATGATCTAAACTGTTACTTGCTAAATTGTATACGTAACATGTCCAATTTGAGATATGATCTGAGCCATAGTTTACTACCACAGTTTATTTTAATTTGATGTCGATAAATTGGACAATGTTATTTAAATGTTATAAATTAATTCAATATAATACAATATCACAGAATCAAATCTAAAGCGTAGTCAAATTTCCGATAGCTTTAAGGAAATCCATAGGGTTGCTGTAGTTGTCGTAATCATCTACAATTCTCTGAAGTTGTCGATCATAACGGATCCATTTGGGTGCACGTGGCTCAGGTAGTTCCCGCCCGTCTCTTTTGGTTTTCTTCACGTCTGTAAGGGCTTGTTCTGCTTTAAGGCAATCAAGGAACTTCCAAATTGTGGGCTTCGAGCAGGACAGCATTGAATGGAATCCTCATCTGTGCAGCTTCGTGTTGATTCCACATGTGGGGAGCGAAGTTAGGATTGGTGGTTGATGTCCCGATCCAAGTGTTTTCGTAGTATGAAGCAAACTCAGCCATGTCTATAGGAAGGAGGGGCTTCAGGTGTCTCCAGATTCGAGGGACGTCAGTCTCCGGAACGTAGGCAATAGCTCCAGTCATCGCGAAGAAATCCCGAACAGGAGAGTTTGGAGTCAGGTACTCCTCCCAGATGTTGGTCTGCTTAACATGCTTCAGGAGGGCTTTCTTGTAGTGGAAGTTACATCCTCGTCTGGTAGTGGAGGGCCACACGGAAGCAACTGCGTTGTGAATGGCGAGCTCGTAGTCCATGAGGATGGATTGTGGTTGGTAGCCCCCAGAAGCCCAGGTGTCTATCTCCTCGAACAGGTTGCGGTAGAGGGTCGTCGTTTTTCCAGGATCTGATCTGCGTTCTTAAGAGTCCCCCAAAGGAAAGATCGACGAGTCCGTTCGTCCCATCCAGAGTCCCAGAGCATCATTGGTTCGTTGTCGGTAGAGAGGATGTAGTTTGCAGGAATGGAGAGCGTTTCCAGATCTCTCGGGTTAGAAGGGTGTCTGTTAGCTGCTTTTCTGCTTCTCTGTACCATTCTGTTGAGGGATGACAGCTGGCAGCCAAGCTTTGCTCTAGATTCGTAACCCAATCCACCGACTGCTTCAGATACGAGGTATTTCGTCGGTTGATCTCCACCAGAAGCCTTTCTTTTCAAGTTCTGTTTGCTGACGTGGACGGTCGTTTCAGCATGGTGGACAGGGTGAGTGTGGTCAGGAGTAGGAGTGATCAGTTGTCTGTCCACGGTACGGATGCGGGCTCTGCAACCCTTTCGGAATTCCGAACATTTCCAGTAGGAGGTGTCGTTACTTCGCTTGTCGAAGACGTATCTGAAGCCATTTAGGATAGGGTTCTCCGAGCCTTGTTTGCGTCCAGGGATAAACTGAAGATTGGTTGCCATTGTGGATTGCGATAAGTGATCTCCATACTGCTGTCCTACATGTACTCATGTCCTGTGATGTGATCGACAGCTTGTTAGGGTACGGCTAGCACGATCCTGTTCTCAACTAGTCAATCACGTATCGATGGATCAGATCTTAAGGGATCACATCAGCTTTAGAACGTCACGAGATTACCTGTGAGCTTGTGAAATGCGAATGTGAACCTAAATTACAATATGATCCGAAATTCGGACAGATGTCGCCAAAAACGACTCCTGTCCGACAGCGACATCTGTCCGAAATCCCTAATTCAGCTTTCGGACAGATGTCGCTGTCGGACAGATGTCGCCCAATCGAAATACGACTTTATGATGAATTTAGATTTCGTACAAGATATTTTTTCGGAAAAGTGAAATCAAATAGTCTTGCAATTAAACAAAAACATTCACTAGGAAACTAAAAAGAGACTTAGGAAAGACTTACGGTAAAGTCTTTGTAAGGCCAGTGATGGAATGCGAGGCCCCGACCTGGGGTACCCTTCACGTCCATATACACGACCACACAGTCTTTGGAGGTCGCCAACCACTGTGCCAGATCTAACTTGTACTTCTTCATGGCCATGTTGCCTTCAGGGTTAGGGTCGACCTATGGCACAGGGATTAACTAATTACTAATTACTAATTACTAATTAACATGTAAATTCGCATGATTAAGATGTTCTATCATAGATAAACTACCATGAAATTGACTGTACTTTTTGGGCTATGATTGTAAAAATTGTAACATTGTGTACCAGAAAAAATGTCCATTTTAACTTTATAAGGAAAGTAGGTCTGGAAAAAACTTACCCAAATAAGGAGCGGATACTTAAGAATATTAGCGTGTTTAACATAGTACAGTGGGAATATCTTCTTTACAGCCACGTAAATGTTAGTGTTCTTATCCAGCTCTACCTGAAAATAGTGAAATGTTAGAAAACCTGCGGCAACTCACCATAAACATGACATTTTAAATTTCACAGTACTCTCTAGGGATTCTAGGGATACTTAATGAAGATTTAAATATTGATTAAAAAGGTAAAATGAGAGGGAGAGGAAGTGTGGCCGACGCGAAAGGACATAATATTCAAACTTCAAACTTAGCCCACAGACAAACAATAAATACCTGAGTGTACTGTACAGAAGGTGACTTCTTCTGAAGAAGCTGGGCTTGTTTACTTGGATCCTGGTATTGAATGTTAGCCTGATCGTCTGCGTAGATGTTGTATGTGTTGTTGGCGAATGATTTTACTCTTACGTACGGTACACCGGGTCCTAGGCAGAATATCTGGTACCTGAAGCGTAAGTGGAATTTTGTTAATGGGGGGTTATTATCAGTTTGTACGGCTAAAATCTGGATTATATGGTCACTACAATACCTATTTGTATTATTATGAAAGGGACCGATTCCAACAATATGAATTTCATTAATAATGTGCAAAAATCTAACAAAAATAACAAAATAAAAACATTCGCCATGACGTTTTTTTTTATCTCAACTCTTATTTTACTTCGGACATTCCAACAGCCACATTGTTACACAAGTGTGTAACCAGCCAATTACAGGAAGCCGAAGGATTCAATTATACATTAGGCCAGTGACGGTTAAGGTAGTGTGTACCATACTTTCTTCGCCCGAGACTTTGCTGCAATGGGCAGCTCCTCATTTAACCCTCACACCCGATTTCTCGAGTATTTGGCTGAGTGGACCGGGGGGCTGCATAGACCACTCAGGATCCTTAGCTGAGCGTCGACGACGCTCACCCCACGGCTAGTGACAGAGTCGGGAATCGAACCTGGTACCTCAAGCAATACCAGGCCCGGATTAACCAACTGAGCCACTAAGCCGATTAACAAGAAACTAACAAGAAACTAATTAACCCAACTGACCAGTGCATAGAACTGTCGATGGTAGCAGTGGCAACCTCACACCTATCATCAGGTTCCAAACAAGAGATACAAGTGTGCTGGGCCTCACCACTCGCAGAGTCATTGTACATCCACAACATTCTCTTACGGGTGGAGGCGGTTCGCTCGTGGGTAGGGTTCAGCACTTCCGTTCTCACGTACAATCTGTCGGTATAGTGGTTACTTAGTGTGCACTGTGTGATATGTTGAGAATAGCAAGTTTGGTGAACTGTACCAGGCTGTCATCGCTCAAAGTAGTTAGATTTTTCTTTGAAATAGGAGGAGAAGTATTTGGTTTAGTTTTGGGGGTCTGTCGAACAACAAAGTTGTCTAAAAGTGATTGCAAGTGGATTGGCATTTACTTGATTGTTAGCATGGATAATGGACCTTTAAAGGACAAAATAACGAAATATACTAATAGTGAACAATAAGTCAATTAAATCTCCCAATCGGAAGTTAGTCATAATCCTGTTTTCTGTAATCTTTCTTTTGGCAGAAATAAAAGGTCCAATTGCTATACAAACAAGATATTAATTATAACTGAAAAACATGTAAATGAGGTATTATTCAACTATTGATTTGATACGCCCAAAATCAAGATGGGATCAACACTGTGTGCTGTGCTATTTGTTTTCGCTGTTTGTTCTTGGAATGTTAGGGGTTTACACAATGTATCCTCTACTCCATCAAAATGGGAAATGTTCCACTGCGGAGATTTCAACTCAAAGCTGGGTAAACGAACTAGGGTTGATGAACAATTAGGTCTGGAAGGTTTGATAGGTAGACATGGTATTGGGACTAGAAATGAAAATGGGGAGCATTTGCTTGAATTTATGGTTAAAGAAGACCTAGCAGCATGCAATACTTTGTTTGATCATCCAAGTAGGCACAAACTAACTTGGACTGGTGAACACAGGACTAAGAGAAATACTCCTATATACGCTCAACTTGACTATGTGCTTTGCAGGAGGAGGTCTACGGTTTTAATAAAGGACAGCAGATCATACGGAGGCGCTGAGTTACGATCTGATCACAAACCTGTTGTAACTCGATTAACGCTGAAAAATCATGTTCTCATTCACAAAACCAAAAAATCAGATAGCACTCAGTTTGACTGTTCAACTCTCTACATTGATAAAGAACTCAGACAGAAATATCAAAGTGCGATTGCTGAAAGATTATCGGGTAAAACTTATCCAGATGACCCAAATGAGAAAATGAATGAACTTTTTAGTGACATACGTGCGTGTGCTGAAGAAACTATACCACTGAAAGGGAAATCCTCTAAAAAAAAATTTCTCCAGTGATCTAACAGTAGCTTCATTAGTTGCAAAAAAGCGTGATCAGACTCTGAAGATCAAATCAGCCCCAAATGGTAGTGATGTTAGTGGAGATAGGAGAGAAGTTAGAAAGATTCAAAATAGCATTTCTAAGAGACTTGTGCAAATAAATAACATGAAGGCTGACGCTCTAGCGGAAGAAATAAATAACACTGACGATGCTAGAAAGATGTTTGAAGCTTCAAGATCTTTAGCTGGAATAAGAAAGTCGGGTAACATAGTGGTCAATGATATCAACAACAACCCTATTGGTACTGATTTAGGGAAAGCAAACACAGCGAAATCTTTCTTCGAAAAACAACTAACAGAAGGAGTTGAAGCTGGCCTGCAACCTTTTACCTGCGATCCAAAACCACTTGATAACCCCATCACACCAGTTGAAGTTAAACTTGCTGCAAGTAAACTCAAATCAAACCGTGCCAGTGGTCCAGATAATCTCCAGAATGAGCTGATAAAGTACGCCCATCCAATCACTTTTGAGAAGTATGCTGAGGCAATTAACGAGTCATTTAGTGGGAACAAATACATAAGTTCGATAGGACAAGGTATTGTGACTCCTCTACAGAAGCCCGGTAAACCTAAGGGTCCCCTCACAAGCCTTAGACCACTTACACTGTTAAACGGATCGAGGAAGATGCTCACTCAAATTGCCTTAAAACGGGTTGAGAGTAGAATTGACAACTACACCATGCCATGGCAGAGTGCTTACAAGAGAGGTAGGAGCTGCTCTGACATTGTGTGGGCTCAGAGAATGCTCATATCTGTTGTAATGAGGAAGAAATGGACATTTAGCAAAATGGGTATTGATATGAGTAGAGCTTTTGATACCGTGAAAAGGGACACTATCATCAATGTTTTGAAAGATGCTGGTTGTTCGGAGGACGACATTCGTTTAGTTCAATACCTTCTATCGAATACTCTCCTTAGAGTTCGTGTTAACTCCTCACTGTCGGAAGAGTTTGAAAGTTTACTCGGAGCCTTTCAAGGTGACAGTTTATCTGGAAAGCTATTCACACTTATTCTTGCAGCAGCCTTACACCACCTCAGAGCTGTATCTGGGAGACCAAACCCACCAGTATCAGAACTAGGTTTTCCAACTGAGTGGGAATATTCAGACGATTGTGACTTTGCTGACGAGGACATCGAGAAACTGAGAATTTTCCTTCCTACAGTGAAGGGGATTCTCAAAGACTGGAACCTCCAAGTAAATGAAAGTAAAACTGAATTCAGTACCTTCTACCTAGCGACAAAATCTGATAAAGATACAAACGGTCAGCCATTAGCTAATAACGAACCATGGAGAAGTAACAAGTCACTAGGTTCCTTACTGTGTACTGAGAAGGACATTCAAAGAAGAAGAATCCTAGCTGAGATTGCTTTTAAGAACTTTGAAAAAGTAAGGCTGTCTGGTAAGAAAATATCCCTTGAAAGAAAGCTGAGGTTATACGATGCTCAAGTTGTATCTGTATTGATTTACAACTCAAATAGTTGGAGTCCTAAGAAAGCAACCATGGAGAAAATGGACACACTCCATCGTAGACACCTCAGGTCCATTTTAAACATCAAATGGCCTAAAGGTATGATAAGCAACAAAGCATTGTATGAAAGGTGCAAAGTTGAAAAGTTATCCAAGCGTATTGAACACCAGCGGTGGAAAATGTTTGGACACATTCTCAGGAGTATGGAGAACACCCCAGCCCAAACGGCTCTCTCATTTGCTATTGAATCAGATAATTTATTCATTGGAAGATTGGGGAGACCTAGAATGAACTTGTTATCGGTTTTAAGAAGTGATTTAAATAGTAGAAGTTTGCAAATGGACAACTTGTATGAATTGAACGAAATTAAAGATATAGCTGCATGCAACAGATGTTGGGAAAATCTTTTTCAAGGGTACAGTTTACCGCATTAAGGTATTTTTAAGAATCATTTTTGTCGGTAAGATCCTGTTTTATAATAATAATAATTGATTTGTAAATTTGTTATCGTACGGTTTATAAAAATAACTGCATGTTACATTGTTTTGTAAATTTATCCGAATCTACACCGTCTTCCTCGATTCCAAAGCCTCTTTCTAAACCAAAGTAAAGTGTGAAACAGTCGTTTTAGTCTGTGAGTCTGGCCTGGTTTCACGTAATGACTGTATATTTTATGACGCAAGTTTAGTTCCCTGACCACTGCCCAGTGATGTCTAATAAGCACGTTTGTGTCCGATAGTCCGTGTAACAGGAGTAACACGTTGTTAGGTATTTTCTTCAAGTCCGGTACCACTGAAGCACGTTCGTACACCATCCTGTCGTACAGTCCCATGAACCGCTCCGTGTACGCCGTGTCGTACCACCGCCAGTTTGACACCGCTGCAGACGACACCGCCGCCACAAACAGTTTCGGCTCCGCCTCAATGATCTTCAACACCAGGTACCCACCGTAAGAAGCTCCCATAATACCCATGCGAGACGAATCTATGTACGGCTCCCGACTGACCCACTTTATAACTTCAATCGAGTCAGTTACCTCGACAGTGCCGAATTTCTTATAAATAGCTCGTTGGAAGTTGTCGCTCCTTCCGGGAGTACCTCTCACATCCATGGTGACAACTATAGTGTTATACCGTCCCGCAAAATAGTGGTCATATCCGACTTTATACTTGGTGCTGACTTTGTTCATAGTGGGTCCTCCGTACACGTCAAACACCACCGGGTATCTCTTTCTCGGGTTGAAGTTACTCGGTTTGTAAAACTTGACGTAAAACCACGTTTCTCCCAACTTGACTCTTTTTATCTCCTCAACTACAGAGTTCTGAGTTTTCAACTCTTTGTCCGGCTTTGTTCGTATGATCATAAAACTTTTAGTCTGACTAGTTTTGAAGAGGTAGACACGATTACGGGGACCTGGTCCAAGACAGGTCATCTTGAGGTGATGCAGGTCACGTGAGATCCCGGTGGAAGAGGCTGAGACCCAGGAGCAGCCTACTCCACATGACAAACAATGTTTGGAGCCGGTGGAGGGTGTGATGCGGTACAGGTGTCGTGTGTGAGGTCCTCTCTCCGTCGAAATGTAGTACCTGGGATGTTTGTCGGTCTGTCCGTCGGTTTGTCGGTCATAGTTTATAACAACATGAATATTTTATTATTTCTGTCAGTTTTTCAGCGGTTTAAATGTGTTTCCGTCTTAAATAAGTCAGTTTGTCAGTATGGTCAATAAAAAACTAACAGATGTAAAATAAAGTTCTTACACGTGTTTGCGAGTGTAGTCGTTTCCTATCAGTTCAGTGACAGCGTACTCCCCGGTGGTAATGGCTATCTTCCTGTTTGGGTCGTTCGTCGTCTCGTATTTGTGGAGATGGGTGAAATTGAACTGAAATGAAATTTTAGAAATGAACAACTCGGTAATTGCGTAAAAATGAAAGTTTCAAATCACAATTTAAAGATCACACACCAGAAAAAAATGTTTTTCACCTCAGCACACAAACAAATGAACCAGTATAGATTATAGAACGTACCTGTTTATCAACCCTTGGCCTAAGCACGTAATACTGCTGTGTACTGAGATCCTCCTGGGCAGGGAACGCAACGGCCGGATACCGTGGCAGCCACCCCAAGTGACTGTTCCGTCTCAAGACACGGAGATCCTCACATGTCGGGCTGAGGTTCAAGGTGCACTCCTCTGTGGTGGCCCGGGTTTGTTCTCTGTTCATGAACTCTACCAGTAGCTTCTTCCTGTAGAGTTGTTTGAGGGTTAATTTTGCCTTTTGGATTGTGGAATTTATCTCCTCTAGTTTTGATGGTTAAAAAACCGACGTGATTTTCACATTGACACCAAGGAACTTACGCGTTTGGGAAAGAAACAGACGTGATGTATTCCCGATCCTGTTTCCCAAGTGGGTTGAGCGCTTCGTCGGCTCCCGTAATTATCTCACCGCGCAACACGTCGTACATTCGCAGTCGGACTAGTGGGTTCTTGTTGTTCTGGACCGTAGGGTAGTTGTACACGATCTCTTTCTCAGGATCCTCTGGTGATTGTCTGTGGTGGAAAAGGGGATTATTTGCTAACTCTTGGATCAATTATTTCAATTTTAATCAAACATAAAATTGGTATCCATTCGCTCTGGAAACATTTTATCCGTAGCAAAATTTCTGACAATATTAATTAGGTATAAAAGTTCCCTCTGACTTTAATCTACAGCTAATCAATAAACCAGAAGTCTCACTTACACAGAGATAGGACTCATGTTGCTGGTGTCAGTTATCATGTAAACTATGTAATCTCCATTTTGAGACACCCAGAATCCTTGTGACGACTTCCCATAAAACTCCTCTGTAATAAATACCCGGATCATGTTAATTATTAATCCACAAAACTCTTTGCTATTACTTATATATAGGATGAAATGGCACAATTAAACAGCAAGCTAAATCACTGCAACAGTGCAACAACTATTAAGACTGCTAATAACCGGAATAGAGGTATGAGAGGACTCCTCGCATTACGGACGGTTTGGTGGACACCTCTCCGATATTCTTGAGAGTTCTACTAACGGGACCCAGCTCATGTAAGCGGATATTGTAACAGTTACTCGGCTGATCTTGTTGAACGAATACCTGTCCAAAGTTAACATTGAAACGAGCATTAGATAAGAAATATATGTAATACTTTAATGTTTGGTAAAGGAGTCTTACCATAAATATATCGGGATGATCACGAGAGCTAGATTCTACTCTGGCATTTGACAGAGAAAAATGTGTTTTTTAATCTTTTAACGTTGGTTAAGAGTTCTTACCAATCTGTCCTCGGAGGAATGCGATGCAATCGACCAATGGACGACATTTCTCTCAAACTTCTGGGGTTCGTTGTTGGTATCTCCGATCTTGTACTTGTAAAGATCAACAAAGTTCATGTGTAGAAATTTCGTCTGAAAGTACAAGTGGGTCGTTAATTCATCCAATTTGCACATGGTACGCATGCATTTTCACATGGCGGATCGAAGATTTGTAATTCAAATTTCGTTCAAAACGCGCGCTAATAATGTTTACAATGATTACTTTTATTACAAAAACGTTTATCGCGCGTTACCGAAAATACCTACTTAACCGTCTCCGAACTACAGAACTGTGTCATTACTGATAACAGCTGATAAACAACCCCAAAAGTCTGAACCTGTTGACTTCCGGTATTTCGTCATATTTAAATCATTAAAAAACTTGAATTTACATAACGGACCAATTAAACTCCGGAACATTGAAATTTCAAATCGTGAGTCGTGACATACTTAGATTGCTCCGGTGATCGAATCTTTACTGCACGTCATCAAGAATACATAATATCTATGAATATTCTAATTAGTTTGGAATATAAGTCCACTCACCCCGTTATTCTTAGCTAAGATGAGAAGTCTGTTGTGTCCTGTTACGTCGAAATCATCATACCCAGCTTTGTTCTAAAATAAGGAGTTGTGAGGATGTGAATCGATTAGAGTACAGAGGTAGTAATAAACAGAACATTTTGCGAAATTTAGAACCAATTATATTGGAATCCTGATGTGTTGGTCTAACAATCTCCGGATTGCTAGATTCAGAAAGAAAATTCACACATAAAAATGACGAACTTGGACGAATAGAGGACAACTGTAATTGGGAATATTAGTATTAAGAAAACGCTCAATCAAAAAACAACCTACCCATTGTTCAAATGTAAAGATGGGGTCCCAGCTATGGTTAATCAAATCAACTTCAATGACGTTGTTACTGAAATCTCTGTAGTACACATATTGTCCTGGAAGTTACAAAAAATGAACACCAAAAGTATGAAGAGAAAAAAACAACTGAAAACAACTGAAGTCAGATCTAAAGTTAACGGAGGATTGTGTCACCACTTACGGAGGATTGTGTCACTACTTACGGAGGATTGTGTCACCACTTACCGTGCTGACCCCACTTTATATTCCGTGGTTCCACTTGGAGGTTCCTGATGTCTTGCCACGTTAACTTGTGCCACAGTCTTACATCTGAAATATCATGGTTGTTACAGGTTGTTGTTACAGGTTACACATTGTTGTTTCAGCTTCTTTTGACTTTTGAGAATCCAGCTCTCCCCTCATAACCTCGTCAACATATTCTACTGGCAATTTGGTCTTGTTTATTCGGTCTTGTTTCAAGAAAATACCTTGTTTAACAGTCAAATGAAGTCAATTTCTAAACTTTGAAGCGTATGAAAAGTCGATAGTTTATTGAAGGTTGTTCTTCTTAAGCACAGGTATTTGTTTGTTATGGAGTTCTTAACAAAAGGAAACACAGAGGCCTCTATCAACTTCAATACTCAGTTCAACAAATTCAATTTTGAATTTTTTGAATTATCCTGTATCCTGATTTGTCTCATTCTTATTCGGTTCATGGTGTCCACTACTTGCAACTAATAACTGTCGGTACACAATAACTGTTATTTATTCACCAAACGCAACACTTGATGCGCATCTATATGTCCCTAATATAATACGCACTGCAGGCAGATTTAAACTCCTTCAGCTAATAACTCAACCTTCAATTTATACAAATATTAAGAGTGCTGGGTAACTGAACGCTGAGTAGATAAAAGAGAAATAGTGCAATTCCTGGGGGATTTGAGCGACGTGTCATATCAGTAATAGTGTTGACAGGGCACTGTATATTATAACGAGATTAAATATTAATGGTAATAACTTATAACAAGGTCATGATGTGATGATAACTTCACTTCGGCACATTTTATTGTAGGTTAGAAAAATATAATGATATGGTGTATTATAGTAAGTGTAACAATTAATGAATGGATTAGATTAGATAAGATAGATCGCTCTACACAAGGAACTGCCACATACCATTGTAGGGGTGTATAAAGAACTCAGCTCAACATTTCCACCGTGGACGGTGCGGTTCAAGTTCGACATACAATTATTACATCCTTCAATTTTCACAACAACCATATCCCTCACACAAAAACAACAGCATCAGTCCCAGCCCCAGCCCGAAAACCCCGAGGCTACCTATTCCAACAAAAAACTGCATTGAGGTGGCATTTAATTGTTTTCAGAAGTTCAATATAAATTAATTTCAACCGAACAAAATACAAAATAGCCAAACAGATACTCCTTTCACGAAATTAAACGAAACGCGCAATAAACACTTACTTGGGACGAGAAGTAAAGTAAATACTGCACGTGCAATAATCGAACTTGACACAAGCATTAAACGAAACTAAAGATACATTCTACCAATTGACAAAGTAGGAAATGGCCCACAACAGTATTTTATACACGTGATGTACACTAGTGGTATGATGACAACATGTAATGTATGCTACCTGCTTTTTTCGGTCTAATCACAGATTCACGATCGTGATATCGTTTCGAAATGAGACTGTTCGATTACTTTAATAACTAAACCAGCAAATGTTTCGGAATTTCAAGTTCGATTGAAACCATTAATTTCGAAGGTTGGTATAAGTACTAGAATTCATTTATTCAATAAATCTGAGATATCTGGACGACTGATTTAACGGCAGGGTATAAAAAGCTCGTAATATTTGAAATATTTGAACACAATGTCAGTCGTCGATGAACCTTCCTCTTATATCATACCAAAATCTTACAAAACAAATGAAAGAACTCTATATGCTTAATGTAATAAATCAGTAGAACATAACTTACATATAGCCATGGGGACGACGATTATGCATATGGCAGCAAGAATAAGGAATGTGAACAGAGCACAGTACTTCTTTCTTTCTCTAGGGGGTTTATTTTTCCACTTCTCTTTTATCACTTTCGGTTTCTGAGCGGAAACAAGGGTAATGTATGAGAAAATGGGGTTGTTCAGAATGCAAATCAGGCCAATACATTTTTTCAGACCAACTTTTCTCGAAGATTAACTCTAAGTTTAACTTTAAGTTGGTTCACTTATCTGACTTACCAACTCTTTTAGAACAGGCTTTTTCTTCGCTTTTGCTTCCCTGTAAAAGAGTAACAGTGAATCTTGGGTATTTAACAAGAATTCAGGGTTTGAAAAACGCTGTTATTGTATCAGTTTGGATGCACTCCGAGTATAATAATACAACCTCCAACCTACCATCTAATTAATTATCTAAGATGAACTTTCAATTTGACGAGTAATGGTAACTCCTTCCATCAGTACAAAATAAATAAGATAAACATGTCATGTCACATGACATATTTTCTAAGTGACGTAATGTGACTCATTGTCACGTGACGTAATGTGACTCACGGTGGCGCGTAAGCAAGTTCCACGGCCCCGGTCTGAGCAGCGTAGCGCGGGTTTGCGTCACGTTCGTTTAATCTGACGTCATCTACCTGAAAACATTCATAATACACTTTATAATAAACTTTATAATAAAAGTACGTGATATCATGATCATATCTTCCCCTCAATGATAACATAGGTTACCAATATAATAACGAAATTACAAGTCAGATAAGTTATGATACAACCAACGTTATTGAATCATCACATTAGTTTCAGATTCGGGGATATTCGTTTCCAGAATATTCACACCATCGTCAGATCGTGATATAATATCTCGTCAATAATCACAATACACAGTGCAAAAATTACCGCACTCCCTTGAATATCAACCCCCCTTATTTCACTGCTACAGGCTCAAGTTTCCACACAGAAAATGATTGAATTACACCCACACCGAGCGCGGGATCATTAATCATCACAACACAGTGTTCAAGGATGATATCACATTCCACACATTCTACACATGTAGATTGTAGAACTGAGCTGTATAATAAAGTGAAACAAGGTGTTCGGATCATAAACAATTTAGATACATTACCTAGTGCAGTAGTGCATATTTAGACCAGATTAGCGGTAATTAGTTTAATTAATTAAGGAGATGAAATTCCGCAGATTCCGCACATACCTCGGTGGCTCCGTTTTCCTGGGGTATTCTGGAGCGGGGGTCGCCTCTACTGTCATACTCGTCGTCATACTGGGAGAATTCTTTACCTCCGCCTGGGTGAGAGAGAGGGTTTATTGGGTGGGTTTATTGGGCGGGTTAATGTAGGATATGGTATAAAAGCTACTAATTGGCCAATACAGTGCAGTGCGGGTCTATCATATAGTATTTGAAGCTCTTCATCTCTACTATGCAGGAAATAGGGCTGAACTAAATGCTTGCAGCTTTTCAGTGACGTATTCAATCTTCTTCTTAAAAAGATTATGATAACACAGGCTACATTGAAATTTTAGCTATGAGTTGCTTTCGGGAACTTCCACTTTCACATTCCTATCAGTAGGAGGCACAGTGTAATTATAGTTATTGTTGTGTGGAGCGTATTGTATAGCGTCCAGCCGCGTCCAGTGCACCTTGTACAATGTACATTATATTATAATATAGTGTAGAGTTAAGACGGAAGTGTACATTGTAGAGAGTACAGTGCATAGTGTACAGCGCATAGTGTACAGTTTATAGTGCACAACAGTGTATAGTGTACATCTGCATTGTACTGAGCACATAAAGCCAGCAGATACAGTATACGAATATCGATATGTTTTAAAGGACGAATTGAAAGGTGGTCACTGCAAATTGAGCATATGTAGCAATGTTATTTCAATTTTGATTTGTTCATATCTTTAGGTTGTGGCACTTAATTCAAGGCTAAGTGAAAAATATACGAATTTTCAGAGACCTCAATTTTGGGTCTAGGCCAAACTAATACGGAAATGAATTGACAAATGAGAAAGACATGAAACGATACATCTATACTATATGTAATATGTATATAACGATACATGAATTGTGATTATTTCTACATCTAGCCAGAGGGCACAACAAAAATGCTGAAAATGGCATTTCGTTAATGGCCCGAACCCTGACACCAATCCAGGGTAACCATTCACCACGATAGCCGGCGATATCTAAACAGAACAGTAGCTACACAGATCTAGCAGTACGATAGCAACACGATAGCAACACTATAGCAACACTATAGCAACACTATAGCAACACTATAGCAACACTATAGCAACACTATAGCTGCACGATAGCAACACTATAGCAACACGATAGCAACACTATAGCAACACTATAGCAACACTATAGCAACACTATAGCAACACTATAGCAACACTATAGCAACACTATAGCAACACTATAGCAACACTATAGCAACACTGTAGCAACACTATAGCAACACTATAGCAACACTATAGCAACACTATAGCAACACTATAGCAACACTATAGCAACACTATAGCAACACGATAGCAACACTATAGCAACACTATAGCAACACGATAGCAACACTATAGCAACACTATAGCAACACTATAGCAACACTATAGCAACACGATAGCAACACTATAGCAACACTATAGCTGCACGGTAGCTGACCGAGTTTCACCTGACAGCGGTTTGCTAGAAGATCTGACAGAGGGTGGACGTGCAGTGTCACGTGCTGTGTCACGTGCTGTGTCACGTGCTGTGTCACGTGCTGTGTCACGAGACCCAGACCTAACACGGCCTGTGGATCTGATCCCCGGTGAAGTGAGGGGTGAAGTGGCCAGGAACACCGAGCCAGATGCTCTCGAGCCCGGTGATTTGGGGGGAAGTTTGGTGGAGGGAGACCGGGGAGAGTTGGAGTTTGAACTAAAACCGTAACCTACGGGCGGGGATTGGATATCGGGAGACTCGGGGTAACTTGTGGGGTAATTGTAGGAGTCAGTCCTCTCAAAGAAGCGCTCAGGTAGTTGGTTAGGAGTGAACTCGTAGGATCTTGTCTCGTGGTTGTGAGGTGGGATATTGTGTGAGGGTGAGCGGGGTGAGTTTGAGAAGTGGTGGGAGGGGATGAGGGAGGCGGGGGTATTTGGGGGTGGAACGTGCACTGTACCCCTGGTCGCTTCATAGTCTGAGGAAGAGGGTAAGATGTTTTCATTATCGAGTCACAGAACCAGCAAAAGTGATAAGAAATCAGAGTAAAAGAGGTTACAAAAGGTTTTAGAAAGATTGGCAACCGAAAGGCAGCAGGAGTAGCAGAGGAAATAACTGCTTGATTACAAACAAATTTTCAGGACTAACTCACCTCTAGGTGGAGGGCGGTCGTCGTATCTGTAGGACCCTGAGTCCTGTCTGTACGATGCCTGATCGTACGGTTTACCATTGTACGATTCGCTCCGATCATCATATCGCCTGTCATCCCGGTGCGGTTCTCTCCCGCGATCGTCGTAGTAAGGATCACGACGGTCGTCGTTGGGGTCCCGTCTGTATGAACCGTGGTCGTCGTAAGAATCACGTCCGGGCTCCATTGGAGGGCGGTCTCGATCGTTGTAGTAACGGTCATTATCGGGCCTGTTTTTGTGAACTCGTTTATGCATAGAATCAAATAAATTTTAAATTTCAGATCATTTCAGTTTCAATTTATAGTCATCGAGAGATCAATGAGTTGCGTTATAAAAGTTGAATAAAAACATAAATAATAAACGAAGCAAGTATTTTATACGATTGATTAATAATTAATAATAACTAAATATCTACTAATTACAAGCTAACCTGTTGCTGCCTCTGTCAGAATCGTGCGGATTATATTGGGTGTAGTCGCCTTTGTTATCCCGTGGATAGCGGCTCATATCCTTACTTTGATGACTTGTAATGATAACACCGATTAGAAAACGATCAATCAATTAGTTATCAATTAGTTATCAATTAGTATCCTCCAGCCGTGATAAGATGGCCCCTAATTTTCAAGATATTAGGAAATTATTGTTCATAAGTTTGTTTAGCTAAAAAATCATCTCACAGTGTATGATTTATGATGTACGATATAAATAGCACTATGTATGATACATTGTGAATGTTTGTTGTTTTGAGCGACCAGAAGAAGATAAGTGTTTATGTAAGAGTTGTGTATAGTAGTGTGATCATTAACACATACGGGGGAAAAGCAAGAAAACACGGATCATGATTAATGATATTGTGTGGAATATTGAAAATAAGTTAATAAGCTATCAAAATATGCAATGATAGGATAGCAGAAAACAAGGCAACTATATCAACAATTGCACAGGTAGTAATTCAATAAAAAGTCAATATTAGGCTTGTGCCAAATCAACTAAAATCATAAGAAACCCAAAAAATAAATTGGACATAAAAGCCCGAAACTAAATTTCAATATGAAGACTGTTTCAGTCAAAAAAGACTGTTTCAGTCAAAAAATACAAACATTTGAACACGTTTGTTAAAAAGTTTTAAACACTTCATACTTGAAAATAAAACATACATTTAATACCAGCCTAATGGGAAAGGTACCAGAAACACCAATCATTTAAATAACGCAATAAACATTTAAACATATTGAATTACATTATATAAAGAAATATGAAATAGATTGATTATTGAATAAATAACTATATAAATATAACCTCATCACACTCACTGCTCACAGGAAAACTGCTAACATAACTAACTAATATTGTGGAGGACAAGTCGCCAGAAACATAACAAATGCCAAGAAATGACAACTTTAACTGATACAATAAGATGGGAAGAGAGAGCTAGCACTGAACAAACGGGGATCTAAAACAATTTACCTTATTTGGTATGATAAGTGATGGTATAATGGTATAATATTAGATCTATTAGGTCCTACATACTACATAGCTTGGATGCACGCCAAAACCATTTGGTTGCGCTTAATGCGTGAAAAATTTGACGTTCCCCAGGGAGGCATGGGCACAGTCTAAAATGTCAAGGTGGCCAATCTGTGGCAATATTCAAACAGCCTTATCTTATCATAGATTGAGAGCAGATCCGTTCTATCAACAATCTTGAAAAGAACGAGAACGTCAGCAAAGTTAGCACATTGTTAAGCATGATCAAAATCATCGGAACGACTTGATGTCAAATGTTAAAACGAAGTCCTGAGTTATTGTATTACACAGCAAGTAAGCACATGGACATTGGACAGTACAGTACAGTACTGAGTACAGTGTGCGGATTGTTTAGATAACTATTTACCTTCCTTCATGTAACCACAATAACGCAACCTCTGCTGACTGCTCACACTTACAGTAATGTCATGCATGATGAAGATCCGTGTGATTACTTATACTAATCTGCCGTATTTTCGTTTGCTTTCGTGTGACTTATGCTTGTTCTTGAGCTCTAGATCTGTGACTGCTCTTCTGTTTATGAGTTTAACATGGCAGATGACCGAAGATTTTATTATTCTACTTGAAAGAAATATTTGGAGAATCAAGAGTTTTCTTTCCTTTCTGAAAGGCTTATAACCTGGTATACAAAGCAACACAATGCCAGACACTAACCCGCTAAAACCCTCACCATCCAAACCGCTCATAACGAGAAAGTCTTACAACGCAGAAAAGTAACAAAATGAAATGTTGGGGGGACAGAGGGAAATGGCCACTTCCGGCGACTGACTACTGTTGACTGTTACACTTACACTTGAAATGCACACCCCTCAATATTCAGTGTTGCAGACGTACATGTATTACTGTCTAAGTATTCGTCTAATAAGTGCAGTTTGTGGAATGTGACTTATTGCTAATTTCAGTGGATTTTTTATCAAACTAATTTCATGTTACAAAAGGTCGACTGAGACGATCAGAAAAGCACATTTAAGGTTATCAGTATTTTATGACTTTAATCGTATATATATATATATGTATCTGAGGGGTATGTACTTTCTTATTTTATTACATCATTGTAGAACCTTACACACAAAAATGCAGCAAGAAGAAAAACAGGAGTTAAAAGTATGCGGGAGTACACATCATGGAACCACAACAATACAAAGTGTATATTTGCTGGTGGACAATGTACTGCGGCTCTCACATTAAAGGAGGATGCTAATCTGTCATTATTAGACCCTGCTTGTGATGTTGTAGAAACCATTTCCCGCCAAAATATGCATGTTACAGTTCAATGTTCATAGCTGCTCTCGAATTGAGAAAGGATGCTTTTTCGGTTGTTTTCGATTTTGGTTTGTTGTTAAAATGATGGTTAATGTGGCCCGATTTTAACACTATTACTGGCCTTCTTTGCTCGAATATTCTGGCAAATACGTCGTCTATTGGTTAAACGTACATCTGATGGCCATGTTATGAACTTATGAAACTAAAAACCTCCTGCACCGCGCACGTAACATGATATTAGTAACAGGATGACAGTTCATGACATAACATCGTCAAACTATAATATAGTGCTTTGATACTGATTCGAAGTAACGAAACAAATGAAACAAAATTTGTTTTAAACAAATAGAAAATGGAATAAAACAGAATCGTGTCAACCTGCTTGTAAAAGTAAATTGTCTAAGACAGAGCTAGAACCTGGGGTTTTCTTACTGAAATTGCATATTTGATGACCTTTTCCATTCTTCTTTCTTTTGTTTTTTGACTGTTGCAGGCTGACTTTTGAAGACTCCAAAGGTAGTTGGAAATTCTCGTTGCTATTTAAGTATCTATGGTCGTAAGTCTGTTCATCGATAGGAGAAATATAAGAAAGAGCTTTCTTTGACAGTGAATCAGGTGATTCTATCTGAGGAAAAGAAAGGGGTTTTACATGGACATTATCCTTCAGATTCTTAACGCGTGAGAATGAGTGGCTCATCAGGACATCTTCCTCATCGTTTGAAGAGTACAGATCTGCTTCTGAATCAGAACCAAGGGTTATGATGCTTCGTGAAGCTCTTGGGAGAGGTGACTTTGGCATAACTTGATAGTTTTGAGCTTCAGGAATTTTGTTTTCTTTATCATTTCCCTCAAACGAATTTCGTTCAGCTGTCTTGGTAGACTCTTGAGAATAAACTAACGACAGATCATTCCAAACAACTGGCTGGTCCTTGTTTTTAACATCACTGTTAGTTATCAAGCTTGAACATTTCACATCGGCCAGAGAATGGGTTTCCTGTTTGGAAGCTACTAGATGGTTTGAATGTACTGTTGGATTAGAGACTGTGATAATCCTGGCCCTTACAAACTTTCTAGATATTCTGTTAACTTTAACAGGTTGTTCCTTATAGCTCCGTGTCTCTTCCAAATCATCAAAATCAAGCTTTGTGGTGTATGTGTTATTCTTTGTTTTCTCAATATTTGGCAGTGTGTAATCACCAGTGTTATCTCCGACAACAAATGGAGTTCTCAGTGTATTAGCAGCTGAGCAAGTGGCAAATGCTTCTCTACCGTTACAGTCTTTATTTTCATTCATCGGTTGTAAAAACGAAGACATTGGAGGTAAATTCGGACGATTAGGACCGTGGGGCTTCTGAACAAATGTTTTCTTAGTTTTTTTAGGGTTAAATGTGGTTCCTGTGACACTTTCATCTGAAGCTATCTTAAATGATGACTTTCTTGAGTTAACAGCTTTCTTGCGATTGCATTTCTTCCGTATTTCAATAGCTTCTTGTTCTGTTGTACGAGTATGGTGCAAAAAGTTGTCCAAGCTCTTAGCTGTACAAGTCAAAGATCTAGCATTTGGACAATCTTTATGATCATGTATTGGAATAAAAGACTTGCATTTGTAACATATAGAAGGCCACATGTATGTATTATCCACCATTTCTGTAGGACATTTACTAGGTAAGTGTTTTGGGATACTTGCAACACATATTACACACATTGATATCCAATATGTGGGTTTTTGGGGTACATGCGAGACTGCTTGAGGATGGATGCCATGGCCATGGCCATAGGGATAATTCAAATTGTGATGTGCATTGTGCTCACTGTACCAATTTGACTGAGTGTAATAGGGAGGGTGTACAATGTTACTGTGTGCTGCACTGTAACCGTGTGGTAAAGGAATGAAGTTGTGTGATGGTTGTGCATAAGGAATCCTGAAAATGAATGAGTCAACTATTGCAAGTGAACCCTCAATAGCATGATTAAAGATGATTTTTGCAAGAATAAGTTGTTCATAGTTACTAGTTAGTTAATCATTATGGTACATAACATGGAATCGAATTTGTTGTTGTAGATATGTTAACATTACCTGTTACATGTTTATGAATCTGACTAACACAATTCAAGGATCAAACAAAATAATTTTGGAACTTAAATTTCTTACCTGTTAGCATCAAACTCTTTTTCATTGTTGTCATAAGGTCTAGGTACACTTCCAGCAAAGCTTGGTGGACCTCTTGGTATGCTCCCTGAATAGCTACCATTCACCTGAGGTGGGTTACTGCCTGCATAACTTGGCGGTCCTCTGGGAATGTAGCTTCCATTGTAATCATCCCCATATCTGTTGTCCATCCTTGAAAATCATTCAGTTTTAATTGGTTATCCATAAAAATTTGATTCATGTTGAACAATATCTGCCATTTTTTATTCAAATTTGCCAAACTTTGAAGTGTGTATAATGTATATACCTGGGAGAAACCAAAGCTGAAAAGAGTATGACCTATTGGTCTATTCTAGCGCAAAATAGTCTCTAGAGACATATCACAACTGTTTATATTAATCGTCCGTTTAGAATTGATCAATTTGAGGACATTCACTGTGGGAATTCACACATTTGTTAATATAGGTGTGCCACAAGGTTCAATCCTTGGCCCCCTGCTATTCATATTGTACACCAAAGATCTTGAGAACATTGCAAGTATGCATGGGTGCTGTATTCATTTGTATGCTGATGACACCCAGCTGTATTTCACTCTTGATTCTGATGACCCATCACAGCTAGAGCACAATATGGAACACTGTATGTCTGATATCAAGAAATGGATGACAAACAATTTCCTTCAACTGAATTCTTCTAAGACTGAAGTCATCGTTATATCCTCTAAATTTGACTCAACAAATATTCCAGCCTCTCTACAGATTGTTAAGGATCAAGAGCCACATGTTGTTAGTGGAACTGTGAAGAGTCTTGGGCTGTATTTGGACAGTTATCTTTCAATGAGTGATCAGATTACGTCAGTGGTTCAAGCATGTAATATTCAGATCAGAAATTTGTGGTTTATTGCATCAAAACTGTCTTTTAACCTTAAGATTCAGCTTGTTCATGCTCTAGTACTCTCTAGAATTGATTATTGCAATAGCGTATATTTTGGACTGAGCTCTTATGATTTAAGTCGTTTACAGAAGGTGCAAAATTCTGCTGTAAGATTTATTTTCGGGAGAGGAAGAAAGGCACACACTACTCCACTACTTAAGAACGTTCATTTTCTACCAGTTAGATTTAGAATAGATTTTAAGATTGCCCTACTTGCCTACAAGTGTTTAAATAATATAGCTCCTCCTTACTTAAAAGAGTTGATATCTCCTAGGCAGCAAAGTTTTAAAAATGTACGTCTTGATAATGATTATTTTTACCTTAGTTTTCCGCCCTCTCCTAACTATGTAAACACAGAGAAAGCTTTGATTGAAATAAATTTTCGTGCACATACAGAATGAATGGTTAATAATTTAATATATATGTAGACCAAGCTCTGTGCACGGGATGCTTCCTGGAAGAATCCAGTTCTTTTAGCGGGGCACCCTACCTAAAGCCAAATTGAGATATAATAATCATATTCCTAGAGAAATAATCAGAAATCGAATACCAATCAAATAATATGATATATATGAGTAGTAACCATATTTACTATGCAAAATGCCCCAACCACATAGTGTAAATTTATATAGAATTCAAATTCCATATCATCATTAAACCTCAATACCTAGTCAATATAATAGCCCAAGCAAAATTAAATAACTTCTTATATACCTTACTGTCATACTACAAATTAATTAAACATTTGAAATCTGTTGACCAGAGAATAAATTTCTAAGCCTAATGCAAGTGAAATAATTTAGATGCAATAATGAATGCCTAATGTGAGTATCATTTGTCAATGTCCTTGTAAAAAAGTCTGTACAAGAGATATGAGTAACTAATATAGAAGAAAAAACAGGAAGTTGTCGTCTGTTGTAAAATAAATAAAATATCTAGAATATAAATTAGAATATAAAATAACATTCAGTCAATGTGTCGTCAATAAACTGTACAATTATCAAATGTTAAAACTGGGTGATACAGTCACCAAAAAAAAATACTAAGTATGATAAGTTAATAAATTAAATGTGGTCTATAAAACTACCACTAAGTATAATAGGTCAATAAATTAGAAGTGGTTTATAAAACTACCACTGTGGGAACCCCTTCTCCAGTTAAAACATGTCAGTCATGTGCAAAATCAATCAGAATGGTAAGGTGGTAAAAAAGGGAATATCTTTTCGATACATCAATTATATATGCCTCAGATTTAAAAGAATTAGAAGTTACTTAGTTATCGGCGACTATGATTGCAGTGTAAAATTTGTCATATGAATTGTCGACGGTATAATTAGGGTCTGTTGTTATAGATGATAGTAGCTGTTTCTTATACGAATCACTAAAGCTTTTAACATCGGGCAGATTTCGTAGATCTGTTGGAACATTATTCCAACATTTTGCCCCCAAGTATTGAAAGTTTTTATGTGATGTTGATCTATTGACATAAAGGTTGCAGCTTTCGCCGCTCCTACTACCTCCTGATATGTAACTAAATTTGTTCATAAAGTTTGTAGGACAATTGTCATGGATGATTCTAAACATATAATTTGACAGATGGAGTTGTCGTCTAAGATGGAGTGGTAACCATTCCATGTCTCTATAAACATTAAGGCTGCTCTCTGTTTTTGGAACGTTGAGAGCTATTTTGGCTACCTTTTTGTACAGAGTGTCAAGTTCAGCAAGTTTTGTCTTGCCAGCTCTACAATAGATCGTGTCTAAATAATCGAATTGTGGCAACATGAGTGCATTGGCAAACATTTTCCTATATTTAATGGGTAGCAGTGCTTTACTTCTATACATGGCACCAATTCTCTTCATGACCTTCCTAATAATATAATCTACATGGCTTTTGAAGTTTAATTTACTATCTAGAATGAGGCCAAGATATTTTGTCTCTTTGCACTCCTTGATTGTGAAAGTTACCTCATTACAAGAAAGCTTTTAGTCACTGTGCAGTTAAAGTATATAATTCCTTGCCATACGACATAAGATCAGCTGAGTCAGTTACATTTTTCAAGACCAAACTTAAAACATACTTCTTTTCTCTAGCATTTGATTGATTTTGCATTTACATAGGTAAAATGAACTTGTCATGTCTAATTTTCAATTAAACTAAGCTCAGTTAATGTAAGAGCCGCTTTAGAAAGCACTGGAGTTTATCTCCAGGATTAAATTATATCGAGTTATATGATTTAGCTATAAGGCGGTTTATAAATGTTGTAATTATTATATAATTGAGAATGCATTAAACATAACATACCTTTGTTGTAACATTTGTGTGCCAAAAGTTTGGGTTCAATAAATTGGAATATAAAACATTTAGGCAGAAAATTTGGACTTGAATTGCGTGCGCGACAAATTTGAACATTCATTTTTTCCCTAATTTATGATATTTTATCAGTCTTGGATTATCAAAATCTGAAACATATCAATACTTAAAACATAAAATACAGTAGTAGCTTATATTATTTGTTTATTTACGTCACTGCAGCGTTACACCACTGCTGTCACCCAGAATTTCATACCCTATCACACTTACAGACAAAATGATCCCAGGGGGGGACTCCCAGCCCACCGTTTGGACAGGTAATTGATTCACCTTCCACAAGCAAGAGCCACTTTGGTCTACTTGCTGTGAGGTAATAAATGGCATAAAAGTGAAATTTTTGTTTAACTACAATTTGGAAGCATGAAATAGCTTGTTGTTGTTAGGGTACATCGTAATTTGCCCAGTAATTCAGCTTGCACTTATTGTGGGCTAATATATATGGGCTTATTATATATATAGGCTTATACGTTGTGTTTGATAATAATGAATGAACCCCTATCACATACCATAATATACGTCAACGTTTGATGTTTAAAGTCTTGTCATTGTAATATTTGAGTTGTTGTTATTTTCTTTATATGTCATAGTTTTTGTAAAATTCAAGTTTTTGATGCATTACCTATTACTGATCGTAGTTGGAACTTAAGTAAAGTAAAGTTGTATTATAGAAAAACGTTTAAGATTGCTATCAATGGTGTGCCCTCAATCGTTATGTATCAAATATAGTTTAAATAAATGTTATCCCTATGTGCGGCGCTCTTTTCCAATCTTGAATAGGAGGGAAACAGGCAAAAAAACTATTACTATATTAAGCTTTGTAATGATAAAGGATAAATAATTTTTAACCATTTGACTTCAATTTAAATTTCGGATATTCAATAAATTAAATGGAATAGCTACTAGTAGTTTAACAAAGTACACTACGATGTCAATCCTTTATAGCTCAGCGTGGCCCAATGGTATGCATTTCGTTGATTTAACGAAGGTGGTTTCGCGTGCAAGACCCAAAAAACCTTACTGTGTACTGGCTGGAGCCAGTAAGGTTTTCTCCAAAAGCGAAACAGCTGATAGAAATTTTCGGTTTTTAATTGCAAAATGTTCGCCTTACAAACAACAAAAATGGGCGCAGTTTATATATCTGCCAAAAGTACACTCCCCAAATTGCGCTTATAATTGTAACTTCTTTCGAACTTCGTGAATCGAGCTAGATAAATTATTTTGCAATGTATTCAGAGTTAATGTACGCATTTATACATGAAATCACTTTGTAGCGCGATGCGTAACTGTGCCGCGCGGCGTACTCAATGAGGCTCACTATAATAGTGAAGCGACACCCAGGAACCCTGACCGGATGGGGCTTAACTTTGAAAGTAGAAGAGTTGGAGACTTCCGGTTTTTTGTAACATGTTCCTCTTTTAAAAGTAACGTTACCTCTCCAGGAGGAAAATTCAAGACAACGTAATTGTTGAGTTATCTCAAAATCTCCAGAAAAGTCCCCTTTCGGGCCGATCAAAAGTTTGCAACTTTAACTTTGCGGATTCCTGTTCTCTGGTTGGCTGAATTGTGTCACGTGGAAGCTGCTTGAACATTGGAATACGCCACGCGTGCAAATCATGCTTGTTTGTCGCGCGCGAGGTCAAGCCGTCTGTTTAAATTAAACCAACTCTAGTACCACCACCAGCCGGTAACTTTTCATGGGTGCGAAGTAACCAATTAGGGCTACTAAATGCCGAACACAAGGATATTTCGTATCCGGATCATATGCCTGCAGGCTGTCTGTCGCTTAAGACCATGGTCGCTCTTAACTGAGCGATAAGTGACGTTAAGTGAGACCGTGAGCACCACTTCTTGCCAATTTGCTTTTGAATTACGGCCCAGTCATGAAGTTAAACAGT